AGCTTTTCATTTCCAGCTGGCTAAATGGCCAGGGCTGTCTCCACCCTGTCTTCAGGTCTTCCCACCTCTTCTCACCCTCTCACCTCACAATCCCTAGCTACGGAGGCCCCAAAGGCCTTCTAACCACCAAACTCGGTGTATTCCTCTTAGACCCTCCCAGTGATACGTGGAGGGGCACTGACACTTATTTCCTTGTGAGCTCCTTTGGCTCCTTCTCCTTTTCTGGTCTCTCTGTCATTGTCCCTTAACTGGAGGTGTTTCCTGAAGTTCAGTCTTCAGCTCCATCGGTGACCTAACCCTCCTCACTGCCCGTTACCCTGTATAACTATCAGGTTACTAGTCAAGCCTGTACCTAAGGACAAGCATATTCAGCAGCCTACTGGACCTCTCCAAACTGGGGTTCCTGCTCATTTTCTCCTACAATGTGGACTTTCCAAAGCAGTCTCCAAGCCCCCCAAGGACAGGAGCAGATATACAAGATGTTACTTTTTAATTTTATTTTATGTATATGGGTGCTTTGCCTGCATGTATGTATGCGCACCACTTGTATGCAGTGCCCACAGAGGCCAGAAGAGGGCATCAGGTTGCCTGTACCTGGAATTATAGACAGTTGTGAAGCACCATAGCGGTGATGAGAGTCCAACTCAGGTCCTCTGGAAGAGCAGCCAGTGCTCTTAACTCCTGAAACTTCTCTTCAGCCCCTGGAAGAACCTTTTTTTGAAAGGAGGAAATGTGAGCTTGTTATTTGTTGTTAAGGGGCATCATAAAGACAATATCATGAGTTTATTTATTTTTGTAGACAGTGAAAAGACATGGTGTCTAGCCTCAGATACCCAAGTTCAACGTTGCCTCCTCATTTCTATTTTTAAGCTTGTATGGTCACTTCCTTTGGGTTCCCATGGAACCAGGCGATGCTCTAACATTATATCCAGTTGTAATCCCAGACTGTAAGCTCTCAAGATGAAGACCTCATTGTGTCCCTATTGATCATACAAGACCTGGTATAGAAGCAACAGGTGTTTAATGCGTTAATATCTTCCTGACACTTTTGTGTCAATAAGGCCTGTGTCTTTACCCTCTGGAATGCCCCTTGGGTAAATTATGTAACCCTTGAATCACAGTTATTAATCTTTAACTTCTTGCCACGATGGATGTTATCTCCAGACCTGGGGCAGTCCTGGAGCTCAGGGTGCAGTTCCTAAGTGCACCACTCCAGGTCTCCCCTTCCTATCAAAGGCCTGCCCCTTCCCCATAACTGGGTCTTGAGATCCTGACTGCACCTAAGTAGAGTGCTCTCACCCTACTGAACTGTCTGTGTTCCCACTCAGGGTCCTGACAGAGTCACGGTACTCACTGCTGCCAACCATTCTGGGGATGGAAAGGAAGGGAAGGGTGGTCAGCCTTCCATAGCTGATGGCAACCTTAGGCTGAGTGTTGATTCTCTGGCTCCCACTGCTGGTGTCTCCTGACACTGACATCCTAAGTTTTGTCTGGCCGTCCTTGGTTCCTAGCGAACTGTTCTGGTTTCTAGAAAACTACTGTATTCCCAACAAGACACACTGATATTAAACTTTAATCCTTAAGATAGAAGGAGGAAGAGTTCTGTTTGCTTTTTAAAGGAATACAAGGTGTAGGCAGAAACAGTAGCTCCAGTCCTTTTTGAAGATTTGCATTTTATGTTTCAAGTACAAAAATCACTTCAGATATCTTGGAGAAGACAATGAATTGATTTTACATTGCTAACTGCTTCACTTTCCCCCTGATTTCTCTGACTGTAAAAATTACATAGATCTGTAAAAAGTCAAACAGTTATAAGAAAAATAAAAATAAAAACCAAGGAAGAGAACAAAAGGCAGCTCAGTGCTACCACTAAAGCAAGCACAGTATGAGAAAGTGGGCTTTAGGCGTACCCGGGATAGAAACACATCTCTGTCACTTACTACCTACAAGGTTCGGAGCAAACTACTTAACTGTGAACAATTTCTATAAAGTTGAGATAAGGATTTAAGTTGTGCAACATCTGTACAATAAGTATACTAGTATACAGGTAACATTTACATCCTAGATAACTGAAGACTTTACATGAGAAGATTTAAGTAAAGTCTATTGTGGCACCTGGCATTCAGTGAGTGGTAAATCATAGTGAACATACCTCAGTTCTCCTTTCTCAAGAATATTTTCCACTTACATCTCATTGCTTTCATTGTAAGTAAACTTAAATCAAAATACACCTGATGCTGATGTTATGACTTTATAAAGACAGTAATTTAAAACTTGTATTTATTAATTACTGTGCACATGTGGGGGCGGGTGTTGCATGTACCATGGTGTGTGGAGATCAGAGGACAACTCTGTGGAGTCAGCTCTCTGCTTCCATGCTTCCTGGGACTGAACTCAAGTGATCAGGCTTGCACAGCAAGCACTGTACCTGTTGAGTCATCTCACCAGCCCCAAGATCATACGTAAAATTGTTTTTATCTAAGCAAACCCTCTCTCAGACTCCATATAGGTTGTTTCATAGTCACTCTTTTCATTACAATATACACTGATTTCAAATAGGAAATCATCTTTTGTATGTATATATGTGAAGGGATGCTAAAATCTAACAAGGCTACTTGAGGACTAGGGTTGCTATTAGGGTCACCCACCTCACACTAGGTACTCAATAAATAAGTAATTGTTATCTGAGGGCTATATACAAACTAAAAGACTCCTTCCTTTCTTCTTTTTTTTCTGAGAAAGGGTTTCTCTGTATTGCTTTGGAGGTTGTCCTGGAGCTCACTCTGTAGACCAGGGTGGCCTCGAACTCACAGAGATCCACCTGCCTCTGCCTCCTGAGTGCTGGGATTAAAGGTATGTGCCACCAATGCCCAGCTAAAAAGACTCCTTTCATCTTTCATTTGTGGGAGGGAAAATCCCAAGGAATACTCTTCTCTGGTTTCTTTTTTACCCTAAAACCTTTCAGTGAATTTGTAGATAAACTCTAATCCCCTTGACACGGTCCTAGGTTTATTTACTAGCTATGGCATTTGCAAGCTATGGTTCTTTTGGAAACCCCACACAGTCCAGCTGCTGGGTTTCTTTTTTTTTTTTTTTTGGTTTTTTCGAGACAGGGTTTCTCTGTAGCTTTGGAGGCTGTCCTGGAACTCACTTTGTAGACCAGGCTGGCCTCGAACTCACAGAGACCCGCCTGCCTCTGCCTCCCGAGTGCTGGGATTAAAGGCGTGTGCCACCAACGCCTGGCTCAGCTGCTGGGTTTCTATGAAGCTAAATGAACTATTATTTTAAAAGCACCTGCTCAATATGTTTGTTATTTTGTTATTTAATAACTTAGTTGCCACCTATTATTAGTGTGACTGTGGCGGGCATGGTTTTATTATCTCATTTATAACTCCAGTCAAATAGAATGATTTCATTTCTCATCTGCTCTTCTCCCAGTCTTTTCACATCTTCCAAGAAACTCCTGGTTGATCTAAAGATTAGGTCCCTAATCTCATCACTCCCCATGTTTCCTATCCTCTGTACACTCCCCCCCCATATAATTAGCAGCTTTTTTTTCTGTTTCTAAAAGAACATAAATTCTCCCTCCCTCCCTCCCTCCCTCTTTTTGAGACAGCATTTCTCTGTGTAGCTTGGCTGTCCTGGAACTCTGTAGACCAGGTTGGCCTTGAACTCACAGAGATCCGCCTGCCTCTGCCTCCCAAGTGCTGGGATTAAAGGCGTGTGTCACCACTGCCCAGCCCACATCCACATCCTGTTTTTTATCCATTATGCTACAGGATTGAACTACAATGGCTGGGGGCTATTATTAAGGATTTTGTGTGTATGCATACTGTTGGCAAAAACTTAAGTACAAATTCTCTAATCTAACGATATTTTCCTAGGAATAAAGATTGTGAGTCCCATTACACAGCTTAGTAGGCACAGCAGGACCTGCTCCTCCCAAGTGTTTTCTCCCCATTGGCCTCTTCCAACACTTGAGTAGCTAGAACAATCTGAGACAGTCTTTCTCTCCAGTCCCCTCTGGAAAACCTTCACCACTCTTATTTTGGAAGGATTTTAACAGGCATGCTGTCACTATTGCCCACTGCTGGAGAAGCACTTAGAACAGAACATCCATTTAATCTCTGTTGGTGTTATTGCTGTTGAATAAAGGTATCAAATGGCAAGGATGGGGCATCCCATTTTACCTCACTGTGGATACAATAACCACAGCTCTCATCTTAAAGGGAATGAGAAATAGTTTATTCCGGAGCTATTTCGAGTGACCATGGCCTGGGTACCCCAAACTCCATGTTCCAATGTGGGAGTAGTTTCATGAAGTTTTATAATTCTACAGAGCAATGAATTCACACATCAAGGCAGTTTAAAACACATTCAGACAGGCAGGTACGTCAATATGGGGGAAGCTTTCCTATAGGATCCAGATGCTATCTGACGACAATTCTTAGCTTTTAGTTTGGTGGAAGCTAGTGGTCTGCTAACTTAGTAGATTCCAAGAGGTTTCCGTCCATGAAGTCACAAGGTGATGATTCCGATTCCGAAGTGGGTAAGAAAGGGCTGTTCCAGAGGCCTGGAGCTAGGCCAAGATGAGGTAATTAGCCTCTGGACCTGCAACATTCCAATCTCTCCAAATTACTGAAATGCTGATCAGCCCAGCAGTCTCTGCAGACATGGCTTCTTTTCAAGAGTTTAGTTCACACTACCACCCTAGGCACTGAGAATGAAACCGAGGCTGGGAAAGTGAGCTACCATTGAGTTGCAGTGCTAGACAGCAAGAGGTATTTTTCTCACGTTCCAAGTGGAAAAACTCTTGCTCAGAGCAGTAAAATAAATGGTCCTGAGTCAGTATACCAGTGACAAAGGAGACATTGGAAGGTTCCCTGGTGCACAACCAAACTCGCACCTCCTTCACTTCCGGTCTAAATCCAGTTCCCCTAAACGTCAGTCCCTTCCGGACTCGCAGTGGTTTGGCCCTCGTCCGCCGCCGTAGCGCGTCGCCTCGGTTGCTGCGGGAGACGACCCGCGACCTGGGAGTGAGCGAATCCGTTTCCCGCCGGCGGGAGCTGCGGCTGTGGCTGAGCAAAGGGATCTGAGCTGCAGCACCATGGCGGAACAGCTGTATCTGGAAAACATAGACGAGTTCGTCACGGACCAGAACAAGATCGTGAGGAGCTAGGACTAGGGGGCAGGCGTGTTGGAGGCGGATGTGAGGGGTCCTGGGCCTGCCAGGGCGCCGGGGGGTGCTTGTGGCTTCCTGGGGGACAGGCTGAGGAGGGCACAGGTCACCGCGACGCACCCTCGGGTGGGAGACAGTCCCTGCGGGCAGAGCCTCCCGCGTGCTCCGAAGTCTGGGGGCCTTGGGCGGGCGTGTGGGTCGCTGGAGCGTGGAGCCAGGGAAGGAGGCAAGAGTTCGTGACGCTTCCTCCCCCATGCCCTGTCGGGTGGTTGCCCCCTCAAGCGGCCCACCTTGGAGCGGCTGAGGAGACGCGACATCTCATCTGGGCTACCGACTGGTGGTTTACCCTCCAGAGACAGTTTCCTCTTCCTGGAAATTTAAATATTGAAAGCAGCATGACCCGCCTCTCTGGGCTGGTGTAAAGATCAAGACAGATCTGGAAGTGAAGCAAGTTTGTCATTGTGAACCCATGGACACTGTTTGGTACCCGGTGTAGATTCTTTTGCTTTGATCAATCTGTGTTTGTAAGATAAGTGTATTGGTCTTACTTGTCACATAGATGGTTTTTGTTACCGATATCTATTGTAGTTTACAGGGCATAATCATCCAAGAATAAGAATCTTTGGGAGCAGGCTCTTGGCACTCATCTGTACTCTGTACATCTAATAAAACCTTAAACATTGTTTTCTCTTTCAGGTGACTTACAAGTGGCTAAGCTATACACTAGGAGTTCATGTTAACCAGGCAAAACAGTAAGTCCAGTTTACTGCTAATTTTAATGATGTTGGAATTTGTTTTCACCTTGTTTTTAATGCTCATAGAGCTCTTAGGTTAGATCTGACTTTTCCCCCTTGGGTTAATAGGGAGGAATATTATTTTCACAACTTGTCTTTCTTTTTCTGTGTGTGTGTGTGTGTGTGTGTGTGTGTGTGTGTGCGCGCGCGTGCGTGCGTGCGTGCGTGCGAGCGCGCGTGCGCGTGCATGGGACAGTCAGGATGATTTTGGGCTCCATGAGATGGGAGCTGCTGTTACTCTCTGCTGTATTGGCCTTCGAGCTTCTGGGTTTCTTCTGTCTGCCTCCCCCTCACCACACCAGAGCTGTGCTGCCTTATCCAGCTTTGTGGGTTTGGGGATCTGAACTCAGGTCCTGATCCTCATGCTTGCTTGGCAACCACTTGACTAGCTTTGCCATCCCCAGCCCTGTTTTTCTCTCTTTTAGGTCAGTGGACTTGCTGTTTTGTTTTGTTTTCCCCCCAGCCTTGGCCTCTGTTAATATCACTTTGTATAGTGATTTGAATGAGAATGATAGGCTCATCTATTTTCATTCCCAGTTGGTGACTCTGTTTGGGGGGTGGTCTGTTTTGTGCTTAGGCTTACATTTGAAGATAGGAGCTCTCAGCTTCCTTCTCAATCTCCCTGGCCTGCCACACCTCCTTCCATGATAGACTGTTACCTCTAAGGAACAGTACTCCCAAATAAACTCTTTATTCCCTCTGTTGCTCTTGTCGTGGTCTTTTATCACAGCAACAGAAAATGTTATGTCAGTTTTATTAAATGGGTTCACCAGTCCTGTTTATAGCTCAGATTTATGTGTTTGTTGTCGTAGATCTATCTACATGTTTCCACTTGTGTTGGATAGGCCTAACTTTGGTCCTAATGGCTTCTGTTTCTGTGATAAACACTGACTAAAACCAACGTGGGGAAGTAAAGGGTTTGCCTTTCAAGGCAGGAACTGAAGCAGAGACCATGAAGGAGCACAAATTACTGGCTTGCTCTCTTTGGCTTGTTCAGCTACCTTATAGAACTCAGGATCATCTGCCTACTGTGGGCTGGCCTTTCCTACATCAATTAACAGTTAAGAAAATGCCCCACAGACATGCCCACAGGCCCACCCAATGGAGGCAGGTCCTCAGTTCAGGTTCTCCGTTCCTGAGTGTGTCAGAGGCCAACGTGTGTTTGACATTAACTATCTGATAGTATAGGGTGTGAGACCTGGAGCCAATGAGACGGCTCAAGTGGACAAAGGTGCTTGCTGTTGAACCTGATGACCTGAGTTCAATTCTGAGGACTTAGGTATCAGAAAGACAGTCACAGTTGGTCTTCTGATTTCCACCGGTGACTGTTGCACACACATACACACACACACACACACACACACAAATTCACTAATTATAATTTAAAAAGATAGGAGAGTATTTGCCAGGCGGTGGTGGTGTATGCCTTTAATCCTAGCACTGGGGAGGCAGATCTCTGAGTTTGAGACTAGCCTGGCCTATAAGAGCGAGTTCCAGGACAGGCTCCAAAGCTACAGAGAGACCCTGTCTTGAAAAAGTTAATAAAATAAAAAAGATATGTGTGTTTAGGATGCCAGACCACTGCTTGTTGTTGTTAAAAACAGATCTGACTTGAGGCCAAAAGAGAAAAGACAACCTTGAAATCAGTGTTAGAATGTTTTGATATGCAAAGGTACAAAACGTTGTCTAAATTCCAAGAGGAGGAATGGGTTAACCACTTGAGAAATCATGCATGGGTTAAATGCCCTGTTTGGTTTGTCCTGCTCCTGGGTGGTCTAATTTTATTTGTTCCTTTAGTGGGGCTTTCTTTGAGCTGTACCAGCATGGCGCATGTCTTAGAAAGCCACTGCTCTCCAGAGCAGGTCAATTGGGCTTTATTTGAGTTAACGTTAGGTGGGTGTAGGAGACTGATGTTTAAGCTTTCAACACCTGAACCAAGATTGCCCAAGATCAGCTTTAGCCCAAACCCAAGAGCCACAGTAGTAACTTTGGGAGTGGACACATGTAAGAGCTTTATTCATTTTCTGTTTGTAAAGAGGACCTCACTGTGTAGCTCTGGTTGGCCTGGAACTCTGTAAGTAGGCCAGATTGCATGTTGACCAGACTGTCCTCGAACTGCCTCCGCCTCCCCAGTGCTGTCTGTGTTTTATTCTTTTCAGTGATCAGTGTTTGAATATGAAATGAAGCAACTGCTACTGTATTCGAGTAGTAGACTTTAAGGATGCATTTGAAGGATTAGAGCTACACATGTTCTAGCCTTAACATACCACCTGTCTCCTGCCTATGTGCCCAACTTCATCTCATAGTGCTCCATACCTCCCTTATTACAGACTTAGTACAGTTGCTTTTCAACAGATTATGCTAAACTCATTCTTAGCTTAGGTCCCTTGTACTATTTCCTCTGCCTGGAATGTTCCTTTCCAGCTTTTGCCTTATCCTTTAGGTTTCAATTAGGATTTCATGTGTAACAATTCTTCTCTAATCTGTTTCTAGTATCACTACTCCTCCCTAGTACTGTCACACTACTGTCAATCATTTTATAAAGCAGATTTGAACTGTTCACTCACAAAGCAATTTATCCATTGGAAATATACAGTTTAATGCTTTTAGTGTTTTCACAGAGTTGTAAAGCTCTCACCACTATCAGATTTTTTGTTTGTTTGTTTTTTACCTTTTCAAAGCAGGAAAGACATTTAAGACCAATTCAGAGATCATCCCACTTTGTAAAACAGAAGCAACCCAACAGCTACATAATCAAAAACTTTGAACCATTTAAAAAATAACCAGAGGGATTACAGAGATGGTTCACCAGTTAAGAGTATTGGTTGCTCTTTCAGAGAATCCAGGTTCAGTTCCCAGCACCCACATGGCAGGTCACAAACATCTGTAACTCCAAGTTCAGCAAATCCCTCATCTTCTGGCCTCCAAGAGCACTGCTTGCATGTGTTGCACAGGCATACATGCTGTTACTCATGCACATTATAAAACAAACCAGAAACAGCCTTACATACTTTGCATCACTAGTGATGAGCTGAATATAAATTAAATTTTCTGTGATGTACCTTTTCCTTCCAATACAGCCACCAGCAATTTTAGAATATTTTCATCACTCCAAAATTAATAATGCCTGTTAACAGTCACTGTTTTTCTAACTTCTGTCTCACCTTTCCTAGACAACCATTAATCTTTCTGTCTATATAATTTTTTTTTTTTTTGGATTTTTGAGACAGGGTTTCTCTGTAGCTTTGGAGCCTGTCCTGGAACTAGCTCTTATAGACCAGGGTGGTCTTGAATTCACAGACATCTGCCTGCCTCTGCATCCCAAGTGCTGGGATTAAAGGCGTATGCCACCACCGGCCGGCTATAATATTTATATATGTATTATAGTATAGTTGTCTGGCTTCTTTTAATTAATATGTTTTCAAAGGTTGTATTGGTACATAATTTATTTTTATGTCTAAATAATATTCCATTATATGATGTATTAGTTTCCTAGCTCCAAGGAAACTAGAGATTTGTGCCAGGTGGTGGTGGCACACATCTTTAATTCTAGCAGTTGGGAAGCAGAATCAGGCAGATCTCTGAGTTTGAAGCTAGCCTGGTCTACTGAGTGAGTTCCAGGACAGTTGCCAAAGCTACATAGAGAAACACTGTCTTAAAAAACAAAACAAAAAACCCACTGGAGATGTATTGACTTCTGTTCTGCAGGTTGTCTGTGCACATTCTTGATGGTATTTGAAACAGGATTTGATTGTTGATGAAGTTTGTCACTGTTCTGATTATGGATGTATAACAAATTAACCCAAAATTTAGTGGAGAAATAGCCGTTTTCTCACACTCACAAATTCTGAAGTTTGGACAGGGCACAGTGGGAATTAGTCTGTATTGATTCTGTGGTGTCTCTGGGAAGTGTCAGTGACTGAAGCCCTGTCATCTTTTTCATCTTTCTGTACATCTGGCAGTTGATGCTGTTTATCAGCTGAACTGGAGCTGTGGACCAGGGTTTTCTGATGGTCCGTCTTAGGGCCTGGGCATCCTTGCAGCACGATGCCTTTAAGCAGTCAGGTTTCTTACCCAGCAGCTCAGAGGTCTGACCACTGTTCTAGCACACAGCAGAAGCCACTCAACTTTCTGACTTGCTTCACACCTCAACAGTGCCTCAGTAGTCACCTCTGATTCAGTGCTGGACTCCACCTCTCAATAAGAAAATGTAGAAAAGCATCTAGGGTAGGAGATGCTGTTTCAGCTATGTTTAGAAAATGTACAATAAAAAAGTATGGTGGTGCATGCCTTTAGTCAGCATTTAGGAGGCGGAGGCAGGCGGATCTCTGAGTTTAAGGCCAACCTGGCCTACAGAGTGAGTTCCAGGACAGCCAGGGCTACACAGAGAAACCCTGTCTCAAAAAACAAAAACAAAACACCCCCTCCCCCAAAAATAGTTGTTTTCAGTTCTTACTTTTTAAAAGTATTATTTTAGGCTTTGTCTCTGACAGGTAAGACCCTCTCTCACTGAATTAAGATAATTTCAGATTGTGAACATATTATATAGGATTAAAATTGAGTTAGTCATGGGGGAAATTATGATTAGAACTGATAAGAAGAGAAAAATTAGTGGTCTCAAAGGGGAGGCTATAATTATCATATGTGTAGGAAATATATTCTGTAGGAAGTCATGTTTTGTCACTCATTTTTAAGATTATTTCATGGGAAACTGGAGAGATTGCTTGCTGGTTGGGAGCACTGGCTAATTTTTCAGAGGACCCGGTTTCAATCCCCAGCACCTACATGGCAGCTCACAACTGTCTGTAACTCCAGTTCTAGGGTTATCTGACATACTTACACAGACATACACACAGGCAAAGCACCAATGTACATAAAAATACAAATAAATAAATAAAAAATTATTTCACATATTTTGTTGTCAGAAATAGAGTACTTTATTAAATAAGACAAACATGAAAATATGTATAAATACCTTTTTAAAGGGATTATTGTGAACTTAGTAGAAAGGGAAATAGATTAAAAAGAAAACAAAAACAAGTGAGAAAAGAAACTTACAGAAAACTGGGAAACCTGTGCAGAAGACAATGACAGTTGCCATAGACGAGATCAAGAGCTGTGGAGAAAAGCCTGCATTTTGCATGCTCCAGAGTACCTTAGACATGGTACTTGCCTATTTGGCCTTCTACTCTCGTGGTCCTAATTAGTGTAAATAGTTCACCATCTATCTGCGCTTCTAACGTAATCACTACAGTGGGGAAGACAAGAGAACAAGGTGAAAGAACTCTCAAAACTGTCAGATGAGACATACTTTGTACTTGAACTGATGGTCTAATGGGAAAGGCAGCCATATAAACAAAGCAGTTAGAGTGCAGTGTGGTAAGTGTCATAATATTAGGCATGGGATAATCTCTGTTAGCACGTGGAAGGCCGAGGTGCTCTGCTGGGCTGGCCATGTTGGAGAAGGCATGGAGTAGGAGGTGGTCCTAAGCTTCTGTCTTGATGAGCTATTAAGTGATAAGACCTATATAGCCCTGCTGGCCTGGAATTCTCTATGTAAGACTGTCCTTGAACTCACAGAGATCTGCTTGTCTCTGCCTGAAAGGCAGGCAAGGAGATCTCTGATTCAAGTCCCTACCCATTCCAAACTTACACTCTAGGAAAGAGATGGCTAGTCCTAATGGGTATGAGCTTTGATGCCTTTGTTCACTGCTTAGAACACAAGTGGCCACTCAGTAAAGTTTTGATTTTTTTTTAAACTGTTGGCTTTTTTAATTGACTTGCATTTTAAAACTTCACTATGACAGCCTCACAGATAATGATGGTGAGAAGAGAGTATAGTTGACACTTGGAAATGAAATAGTGTAGTCAAGAGGTGTGGAAGGAGAGTTAAAGAGACTTGGCAACTTACTGCACAAGGATAAGTAAAGGGTAATGACTCCCAGATTTCACGTCATTGGGGAAAAATGAAGCCATGGGGTTGAATAAAATAGACCACAGAGAATACCATGGGGTGATGAACCATGTTCCATGTCTCAGGAAACCTCTTAGACGAAGGCTAACTGGAGTGACTGACCATACTAGAGTAAGAAGATGACTAAAGACAACACCCCCAGTAAGGAAAGGAAGGCAGAGAAACTGCAGGGAACAAGTGGGATAGTTGCTGCGGGCGACTGGGTAGAGTATCTCGGAAGCTAAGAGGAGGCATCTGGAGAAGGGGGCAGTCAACACTAAGGCGGAGGTTTTCTTTGTTTTTTACTTTGAGACATTGTATTACTATGTAGCTCTGGGTGACCTGGAGTTCGCTATGTAGATCAGGTTGATCTTGAACTCACAGGGTTCCTCTAAGGTTAAAGGCATGTGCCACTAGACCTAGCTTTCAGAATTTCTGAGTTTCTGGCTGTTCTTGATTAAAGTGTGACGGGTAGAAGCTTGCTAAATATTTCTTGAAATAAAGATAAATGATGTGCATTTTTAACTAGATCATCGAGGGGAGTCAACTTTTAGTATTCTGGGTGGTTGGGATGAAAGTGAGTAAGATTTTACTGTAAGCAATTGTTCTGCATTAATGTATGGCTGTGCCACCTTAGTGGACATTTGGATGCTGACTGGTGTAAGCTCCTGCTGTAGTCTACAGTCATGAGACATCTGATTCTGAGTAATTCAGTACTGCCAAAAGTGCATATGTTTGTCATCGTGTACATGATAACTTGAAATGTTCAACATGATGATCTCCTAGAATTACTAAAATCCCAAATCTTCTCTGTCCTCCAAAAGCACATGCAGACTTGCAACTTCTTTGAGAGTAGAGGCTTGTAGGCAAGTGTATGGATTTGGGTTATAAGCATTACTAATGTAGTAATGGTATTTCTCTTTTATACCTCAAGATATGAAGCCTAGAAAGCTTTATTCTGGATCCCATAGCTGTTGTATCTGCTACTTAATCACTGCCACTGTTTGGCTTTGGGTTCTGTCCCTCCTGGCATATTTCTAGATTTATCTTAGTTACTTCCTGGGTCACTGAGCCAGTTCAAACAAGTTGGCTCCAGTTCCATGTTCCATCTAAAGTCCATCCATTGTTTTTTCAGGAATCTGCCTGTTCAGTAAGTTAAAATTGTGCTTTTTTAGAGAACTGTCAGATTTCCTATATATGACTTTTAAGTCATGAATTAAGAGTTGATGAGGCAGGGATGCATACTAATGAGCCAATTCTGTCTTGTTTGGAACAGGATGCTCTATGACTATGTTGAAAGGAAACGGAAGGAAAATTCAGGAGCTCAGTTGCATGTTACTTACTTGGTATCTGGCAGTCTTATGCAGAACGGACATTCGGTAAGTTCTCTTGCAATGAGCCTACATGTGTGAGATAGAAACAGTATTAGAAGCAGCAGGAGAAAAGCAAAATTGAGGGGTGTGGAAGTTTTAAAGAACCTCTTGAAGAGAGGGTTGTTTTTGTTTCTTTGTTTTGTTTTGTTGAGACAGGGTTTCTCTGTGTAGCCCTGGCTGTTCTGGAGCTTGCTCTGCAAACCAGGCTGGCCTCAAACTCAGAGATCCGCCTGCCTCTGCCTCCTGAGTTCTGAAATTAAAAGTGTTTGCTACCAACACCCAGCTGTATTTTGAAATTCTAAACTAAATATGACACTCAGGAAAGTTTAGGTGACATGTGATGAAGAGACTGCCATTATTAGAGGGTTACCTAGGAAATGAGACCTTAGTGATGGTCCTTGAACTCCTTTTTTCTCTTTAATATGTATTAGAGACACTGGCATTTAATTTTCATCCTGTTCAAAAATTTTTTTTTTGGTTTTATGAGACAGGGTTTCTCTGTATTGTTTTGGAGGCTGTCGGTCCAGCCTGGCCTTGAACTCACAGAGATCTGCCTGCCTCTGCCTCCCGAGTGCTGGGATTAAAGGCATTTGCCACCACCGCCCGGCCATCCTGTTCAAATTTTAAGCCACAAACTCGGGGGTGTTAAAAAAAAAGAGAAAAGAAAAATTGACTTTAGTTTTAATTTGAGCACTCATTTTGGTAGGTTACTTAGAGTGGCCCTCTGGTGGGGATGGGCCTGAAGGCCTAGCTGCTGGTGCAGTACAGAGCCACGGGCTGGGATTATGTATAGGCTCCCGAGTCTTCTATTCTAGTCCCACTCACTCCACCAACATTCGGTACTGTTGCCTCTTCATCTCAACCACAAAGCAGCCTTGGTGTGCTGATCTCTTACTGACTTTCATGTCCTCAGGGGCGGGCACATGCATTTTGAAACTCTCAAGTGTTTAGTGCAGTGGTTCTCAACCTTCCTAATGCTGTGACCCTTTAATACATGTTGTGACCCCAACCATTAAGTTATTAAATTATTTTATTGCTGCTTTATAGCTGTAATTTTGCTACTTACTGCCATGAATTGAAATGTAAATGTCTGACATGCAGGATGTTTGATATACAACCCCCAAAGGGGTTGCAATCCACAAGTTAAGAACCGCTGGCTAGTGGGTTCATGTTATGTTGCTTAGGCCTTGTCAGATTGGTCTACCCATTCATTGCAGGTTCTCATTAGCATTCCATGTAGTAGTTTTTGGCTGAGAATGATTTTTTAAAATCACCTAATTTAATTTACCAGCGGTTATAAAATAGTCAGGTTTGTTTGTTTGTTTGTTTGTTTGTTTGTTTTTTTTTTGGTTTTTCGAGACACTGTTTCTCTGTATTGTTTTGGCTGTCCTGGAACTCACAGAGATCCGCCTGCCTTGCCTTCCCAGTGCTGGGATTAAAGGCGTGCACCACCAACACCCGGTTTAAAATAGTCAAGTTTTAAGCTAGAGTCTTTCTATGAAGGACTTTTATTTTTTTTTTTAATTTTGTGTAAGTTCTTTTTTTTATTTTTTATTTTATTTTTTTAACATTTAAAAAAAATTTTAAATAGCTTGTTTTACATGTCAATCCCAGTTCCCTCTCCCTCCCCTCCTCCCGCACCCCCCCCCCACTATCCCCCCCATCCTCCCACCCTATTGCCAATTTCTTCCGCATAGGGGATATCTAGAGTCTATCATTTCATTCAGGATAGGGTCCAGGCACTTCCCTAAGAGTCCAGGCAGAGAGACAGGTCTCACTTGTGCAGCTTGTCTAGTAGACTAGACTGACCTCCGTATTCATAAAGATCCACCTGCCTCTGTCTAGTGCTGGATTAAATGTGTAAACACCACACCTGACCTCTATGAAGAACTTTTGTTGAGTGTGGTTGTATGTGCTTTTAATTCTAGCATTTGTGAGCCGATGCAGAAAGTCAAGAATTTGTTGCCAACCTGGGCAAGACCTCTTTCAAAAACATAAAATAAAATTCTAAAAGGTAGTTAGTAATGATCTGCAGCTTCTGTATGTCAGGCTTGAGATGCTGGTGCCTTCACCTCAATGGGGGCCAATGTGGCAGTAACTCTGTTCTGTTCTGCACTGGTTTTGCACCAGCAAGGTGCCAGGTCCACTGTTGGCAAGTGCATTTTCACTAGCCCCAAGCAGAGGAGCACTTAGCCATATTCAACTGCCTGCCTGTCTACATTATTTCCTTGGGTGTGAATTAATTACTGTTCCTAAGGTTGTACTTCAAATGTGTGGTGTTTTAATGGTTAGTTCCTAATGCTGAAGTTTTTTAAAAGCGCAGTTTTGTAGAATGTGACAGTTTGAAGAACATTTAGTTTGTATATATGATCATGCAGGTGTGTACAGGTATGCATACATTTGTGTGTAGGTATGCATGTGTGTGCATGGCTATGTAAAGGTCAGAGCTTTGCACTCTGTTCTTTGAGAGTGGGGCTAACTTAACGGGCTTAGCAGCTGCTTCTGCTCTCCTCCACAACAGTTGGTGTAGCTCCGGGGCTCCATGTGGCACCTGGAGTCAGGGGTGGGGGGTGGGGGCTGAGAGGGTGGGGGTCAGGACCCTTGCTGGGTTTTGGCTGTGAACTGTTGGCTCACACTTCCTGTTTGTTTCTCTAAAAGCTCTTCATTTTCCTCACTTCATCTTTGTCTTTATGCTCTGAAGATGTAATGCCCTTTGTGATACAAGTTTTAGTTTGGTTTAATTTTTTTCCTTCATTTGTCTTTGTACGTTGCTTAAAGTTTTTTGTTTTCATTTAAAAGGCTTTCTTTTTGGCCTTTTGTTTTAGGTTAATTGCAGATGCCTTACTTGCTAGTCAGTATTCTTGATTTCTCAAAACAGCATATGTTTCTAGTGTAACATGGTTAAGTCCTGGGGTACTCTTGAGAATTTAATAAAAAAATTGTTTATTATTAAAAAGTTGCAATAAGGAAAAAAAAGACTTTCATTTCTTTAAGGTTATTTCATTTATCCTGGATGTTGAGTTAATCTTAGGGTAGTTCCTAGAACTTATGCTGACATGCATAAGTGAAACAGATCTGTTACCTAGTTCCATAGATTATATAGTGTTTGTCATTAAATCATTTACTAAAAATTGTTCTTACAGTGATTTGAGATGCAGTTTTGTTTCATAAAAGTGTTGAGGCTGGCCTCTCATTTTCCTTTATCTCTTTTTTCGATAAGCTGTAAAACATGCAAATTAAAAATAAGTCAGACTATCCTATACTGTAATGTATTTTCGGCGTACCCAGTGTTTTTCTAATTTCATAGCTAAGCATAGCTGAGTTACTGTCAAGGAAGCTGAAATCCCAAGCTCTGTAACTTCACCACTGATGAAGTGTTGTTCCTTGCAGTGCCACAAGGTTGCAGTAGTGAGAGAAGATAAATTGGAAGGTAAGAGTTTGAGTAACTAAGTATGCTTTTGCTTTTCTGCTTATAGCATTGATTGGGTACAGTCTGCGTAGAGTGTATTTGACTATTTAACCAAAATGTTCCTTTTATTAATGGTTTCTGAACGTTAAAATCTTCTTACATCTGCCTAACTTCCCATTTTTAAGGCTAGTAGCACTGACATTTATAAAGTACACCTATGACAGGATTTCAAGCCTCATGACACAAACAAAAATAGTCATGAATTTCAATGACATGGTTCCTTAAACTGTGGGTCGTGATCCTATATGGGGTTGAATAACTGAATCTAGGGCTTGTAAAAAGGTTACCAAAATGAGCTTGTTACAGCCGAAACTTAATTCAAAATAAACGTGATGAATCTGAGGGTTTTGTGGCAGTGCTCACCCATGTTATGTTGTGTCATGTAACTTCACTGTAGCTTTAGTTCTGAACACGCAGTGCGTGCTCTTCGCATTGTGTGACATCCTGCCATGCAGCACCATGGCCCAAACTTGAGGCTGTGTATGACATATGTTGTGTTGGATGTTCTCAGTTGCAGACGTTTTACTGTATACACAAACTTCTGTGCTCTTACAGAAACATAATGCTTTAACTATGGAAAACAAAGACTGTTTTCCCATCATTGTTCTTTAATATGTATCAAATTGATATGTTTGGGATTGATTCTAAATTTTTTTTTTTAATCATTCAGTGAATTTCAGCTTGGATTAGAACAGCACTCCGAAATGACCTAAATATACTTCTTCTATTTTGTACTATATATTCCTGCAAATGGTGGCATTGTCAGGACTAATGATTATAAAAACAAAGTATTGATTAGCTTAAAAAAATTTATGTGTGCTGCATTCTATTCTGCAGTATCAAATATTCAGCCAAGATGTCAGTTCTTTGTGTAAAAATAAGCATGCTCGCCGGGCGTTGGTGGCGCACGCCTTTAATCCCAGCACTCGGGAGGCAGAGGCAGGTGTGAGTTCGAGGCCAGCCTGGTCTACAGAGCGAGTTCCAGGACAGTCTCCAAAACAATACAGAGAAACCTTGTCTCGAAAAACCAAAAAAAAAAAAAAAAAAAAAAAAAAAAAGAAAAAGAAAAAGAAAAAGAAAAATAAGCATGCATACTTGTTTCATTAGTATGTTAAATTTGTTTTCATTTTTAGTAAGTAATAAAATTATATGTATGTCAAAGGGTTGTTTTAAAATAAAATTCTTTATGCCTTACTATCCTATTTTTTATATATAAGGTTGCATAAAAATTTCGCTGGCGAAAAAGCTAGTGTTACAAAACTATGCCATATGTGATTACTGTGTCCTAAGTTCTGTGCTAGGCACTGGGGACAGGGAACAATTTAGGCACAGCGTCTTCCCTTGTAGAACCCCAGTTTGTTCTTGTGATGGTCTTTTGATTTTGCTCTACAGACTCAACTCATTAATAATAATATTGTGTAGTTGGTTTCTCTAAACTATTATTGGAACATCTACGTTTTCTTGGTAGAGAGAAGTCTTCTCAGATAGAGATCACTTCATTATCCTAAACTGGTTGAAAACAAAGCATCATCATCATCAACATTAATTACTCTTTGCTGAGTGTCCCCGGATGAGTGATTCCCTGACAGGTGCTGTACTTTGAAACAGCTCAGTATCATTGTGTTCCCGTCACAGAGACCTGATGTTACACTGAATATGTAGTAGTTTGGCTTTTTAGAGTTTTTGGACCACTATAGATAGCACATGGGTTTAATGCAGAAAAGTTTCTTGTGAAAGTCCCCACAAGCAATGAAGTTGTGTATTAACAGACTGCTTTTCCTGTTAACTTGTAGCAGTGAAGTCCAAGCTAGCTGTGACTGCCAGCATCCATGTGTACAGCATCCAGAAAGCTATGCTAAAGGACAGTGGGCCTCTGTTCAATACCGACTATGACATCCTTAAAAGCAATTTGCAGAACTGCAGCAAGTAAGCTCCTTAATGTTCTTGTGGGCTTCTTTACAAATTGATTTTGTAAGGTGTTTACACAGTGGCTGCCTCTTAAGAGTGAATGCCAAGTCTAGTAAAACCCCATTTATCTTGCAGTAAGACACATGCCTAGTTTTATTAGTACATCATAAGGTGAAAAATAGCAGCCACAACCCATATTGAAAACCCCAGTGGACTCCCCATAAATCTGTTTCTCATATATTTACCCTGTCATCACCACCAGCAATGTTTGTTGTGTGCCCTTACTACCCCTTTGCCCCAGTCTCTGCTTGTCTAAATCTTACCCATCCTTTAGGAGCTAGTTCAAATGTTGCCCTTCAAAAAACTGTTCCTAAATTTGATGTCCCTATTCCTTCCAGCCAAAAGTAACTCGGCTCCAAAGCTCCATAGCCAAGATTAAATCTTGTAAATCTTTTGTGTTCTTCAGAGCACTGGATCGTGACAGACTATAATGGGTGTGCATTTTAGAAACTGATGATCTTGGGTTTTAGTTGTGTTTTGCTACTTAATAGCTCAGTGGCTTTGGACAAATTACCTAATATTCTCTAGATTTGGTTTCTTCATCTTTAAATCAGCTGTGATGTTTCCTACTTTGTAAGATTATAGTGAGGGCTCAAGTCGGTTCTCTAAAAATATACTTGGTATCTACCACCTTGACTTAATAACAATTTAAGTTTGGGGGCTTAGTGCTTTATAGTACTTGTACGGAGGACCTAGGCTTGATTCCCAGTACCCACATGGTAGCTTACAATCTCCACTCATAATCCCTGGGGATCTAACACCCTTTGGTCTCCTTGGGCATAGGTATGCATATGGTACACACACACATACATGCTGGTAAAACACTCTTACATATAATATCAGATAAATTGAAAAAAAGATAATTTGAATTTTGCATATATTTGATGAATACCATTGAGTTGCCATTCTACATACTTTTGTGAATGTGGCCCAGTACCTAAGGTCAGTGGCCTACAGGAGATAACAGTTATAGTACAGTGTTATCATGAGAGGAATGATATGAGGAGATTTGGAGACAGGTATTTATTACCAACTCCTGGATGGGTGGAGTGAAGTAGAAAAATAGGTGACTTTCCAGAAGGTTAAGGCATCTAGGTTGAGACTTAGAGGTCCAGTAGAAACTGCCAGATAAAGAAGTGTGAGAATAAAGATGGAGCTGAGAGGGAAACCCAGCATTGCATAATTGTTGTTGTCTGTGGCTAGAACATAGGGTGACAACTGGGAAACAATTAGAAGACTGGAGTCAGATTCTTTTTTGAGTATTTCCAGAGAGTTTAGACTTTATTCTGAGAAGTGCTGTTGGGTTTTAGACATGTGCAATTGCTGGGAAATCTCAAGTAAGGATAGTCATTGCAATAGATAAGTCTCGAGGTAAACAGAATGAGTTTGGATCCAGAACATATGTAAGCTGCTGGGCCAGGGCAGCAGACACAGCTATGTAGAGAGAATGTGTAGAGTGAAAGAAGGCCAGAAAGGAAAACTCTGGAATGCAGTTTTTACCAGCTGTATGACATTGGGCAAATGAGAGTCTCTTTGTGATTCAACTTCCTTATGGTAAATAGTACCAACCTCACATGTAATAGGGATTAAGTGAATGAAGGTATGTGGGGTGCTGTGGGGTCCCGTTTTTCCTTGTAGTCCATTGGCCACCAGTCTACACGGACAGGGGCAGAAGCAGTGACAGAGAGCTTTGTATGGCCTGTGAACACAGTGGAAATAGCCTTCTGGGAGACAGCTTCAGTGAGACAGCTCAACCTCATTCCAGAGTGAGGGGAGATATAAAGGATGGGGACAGTGACAGGGGAATCACCTAATTTGCATTAAACAGCACTTTCCTATCATAAAACTCCTAGTACAAGCTTGGTTATCATATTTGGAAGCGTATGGTCCTATGGTAAAGCTCCTAACACAGTGTCTAATTACCATATGGGTAGCAGGGGCAAAGCTGGTGCAGAGAACTGTGTCACGGGTCACACTAGAGATAGTCAGGCATCTATGTGGGCCTAGAGACATTCTCCAAATAAGGTCAGATAGAGAGCAGGAGGCCCTTCACTGGGATGGAGTCCTCCATGTTGCCGTGCTTGGAGAGAGCTGCCAGGACATGATAGACTGCAACCTCTGACCAGCAGGGCCTCCCAGAAGAGCTCTTACAGCTGCATTTAGCACATAGTAAGTACTCTTTACTGGTAGCTTTTTATTTTAATGAACAAAAAAGAAGGGTCTAAGAGGAACATTCCAGCGAAGTGGAAAATTATAAAAATATTTGGGGTTCCAGAAGCTGAGGGTAGAATTTCAAGAAAGAGGGACTGGTGGGACAGTGCCAAATGCTTTGGAGAAGCAAGTCAGATAGGACGGAGTGCTTCAGTGCAGGGTCAGACTTATCTAGATGATTAAGTCAGACAAGAGGAAGTGAGATAGCCAACATGGACAGCTTTTTCCAGAAAATGTAACTGAAATGGAAGGAAGGGAGGGCAGTAGCTAAGGAGAAGCTGAAACTTTGAAAGATATATGTCTGATATTAGAGTTGAGGGGATATGGTTCAGTGGCAGGAGCTTGCTTATCATTCATAAGGCCCCAAGTTCTGCCTCCAGCACTGCAGAATAAAATAAACCCAACCACAGAAATAATGACAAGACTGGTTCTGAGACAGGGGAATCACTGAGCTCCAGGCCAACTTACTACTTAGCGAGTACCAGACTAGCCAGGCCATGCAACAAGTGAAAGACGTAAGTTGTATTGTTAGGAAAGGCTTGGTGGTTGAAGTTAATAGAGGGGCTGGGATAACCAATAGAGACAGCTCCTTGGAGAAACTGATGCAGAATTGGCGACTATTTTCTTTAACACCATCTGATTAGGATTTGTGCCAGTTAACTGCTTTTCCAAATAGTGCCCAGTATACAGTAAACATTTTCAGTAACTAATGTTGACTGTTAATGATGAGCATTAAGGTGGGCTTTTTTTCTCTTATTTTCAAAACTTTGAATATAATAAGCTTTTGAATATTTATTAGATAAATATACAGCTGGAGAATAATTTACAAGTCTTAGGGAAGAATTTCAAGAAAAATGTAGTACTTTTCTAATTTTATGTAAAACATTAATTTTATTTAAAAAATAATCTATATGAAAATCTCGTGGTGGGCACTAGTGTCACATGCCTTTAATCTTAACACTTGGCAGGTAGGGACAGGTGGATCTCTGTTTTTTTTTTGGTTTTTCGAGACAGGGTTTTTCTGTATTGTTTTGGAGGCTGTCCTGGAACTCACTCTGTAGACCAGGCTGGCCTTGAACTCACAGAGATCCGCCTGCCTCTGCCACCCAAGTGCTGGGATTAAAGGCGTGCGCCACCAACGCCCGGCTCAGGTGGATCTCTGTTAGTTCAAGGTTAGCTTGGTTTATAGAGCTGTTTCCAGGACATCCAGGACTGTTACACAGAGAAACCCTGCCTCAAAAAAAATAATAAATGAATAAATAAATAAAAAAAATTTTGTGGCAGTCAAGCTATGACTCATCAGCCAGGCGTTGGTGGCGCACGCCTTTAATCCCAGCACTCGGGAGGCAGAGGCAGGCGGATCTCTGTGAGTTCGAGATCAGCCTGAACTACCAATCGAGTTCCAGGACAGCCTCCAAAGCCACAGAGAAACCCTGTCTCGAAAAACCAAAAAAAAAAAAAAAAAAAAAAAAACAAAAACAAAAAAAACAAGCTATGACTCATCATATCTGACATCAGATAAAACTGGTCCTGTTAATGTTCAGCAAATAAACAAGAGTAAAAGTTAGAAAGGTTTGCAACCTTCCTAACACTTCGACCCTTTAATACAGTTCCTCATGTTGTGGTGACCCCCAACCATAAAATTATCTTTGTTGCTGGGCTGGAGAGATGCTCAGTGGTTAAGAACACTGCCTGCTTTTTTAAAGGTCCTGGGTCCAGGTCCCATAGTGGCTCACAGCCATCTGTAATGGGATCTGGTGCCCTCTTCTGACTTGCAGGGATACATGTAGGCAGAATTCTATACACATAATAAATAGATAAAGCTTAAAAAAAAAAGGCATGCATTAAAAAAGAATCTTTGTTGCTACTTCATAGCTGTAATTTTGTTACTGTTATGAATCATAATGTAAATATCTGATATGCAGGATATCTGATATGCAATCCCCAAACGGGATCTCAACCCACAGGTTGAGAACCAGTGGTTTAAGCAAACTCTGCCCATGTACAAAATACCAGGGCAAATAAGAATGTGATGAATAAAGCACTGCCGTGAACTCTGTTGAACACGTCCTCTGTAGAATTTCAGAATTTGCCAGCCATGATGATGCATCCTTTGAACCCAGCATTTGGGAGGTGGAGGCAGGAAGATTGTTCATCATCATCCTCAGTTATGTAGGAATTTAAGGCTAGCCTACATGTACTACATGAGACCTCCGAGTCATGGTTTCTCTTCCTGTTGCTGACAAAAGCAACTTAAAGGACAAAGAGACTATTGTGGTTTACAGTTCAGTGGCACAGGTCATCATGGTGAGGAAGCCAAGGCTGCAGGAGCCTGATGCAGCTGGTCATGTCACAGTCCCAGTTTCTCCTTTTTGTATATAGTCCAGGATCCCATTTTAGGGAATGTTGCCACCCACAGTAGGCGGATAGACCTTCCTACCTCAGTTAGCCAAATCATGGTACATGGTGAACTTCATAGGTGTGCCAGAGCCAGACTCCCAAGTGATACTAGATCTCATCAGATTGACAGTTGAGATTAACCATCTCATCTTACCTGGAGTAGGGGTGGGAGATGAAGTAGGAGGAGAGGAAAAGAGAGGAGAGTTTATCTCCAGCAAAGAAGTCTGTGCTTGTTCCTAAGAACTGTGAGCCTCCTGAAATCTGATACTGTGTTTTAGGAAATGGTACGAAAGCAGGGAAGGTGAGATTTCAGGGTTGAGCAGCCACCTAACTTGGTCTCTTCTTGGTTGCCAGTTGCTGGTCCTGATCCTAAGGTGTGGAATGCAGTCCAAATAAAGAGTTGTCTTAGGGCCAGCTTTAGGTGCTGACAATGAAATAAAACATGCCTTTTCCATTGTACCTGGAAGCACTGCAAGGCCAGAGAGGAAGACCAGTGGGTAAAAGCAAATGCTTTCCGTCTGTTCTCAGCTCTCAGCAACTGACGGTGTTCTGAGTGGACTGTATGACTCAGTGGAAGCCGTGTGTTGCTCTGGATCCACTCAGTCTAAAGTTATCTCTGAAATGAAGTACTCTCAGGGACCATTGTGTGGGCAGTTAGTGTAGTTAGTTTTGAATAACTTCTGTCTCCACAGTTTCTGTCTTCTCTATCTCCCATTCCAAGTTGAGGTGATCCACTGAAGAAAGGAGAGCCAGAAGCCTTTTCTTCAGCCAGTCATTCTCAGTCCTTGCTGGGTACCAGGTCATATGCTGAGTGCCTATAATACAAGGAATGAAGACGGCCTCTGGGGAACTTTCACCTACCCACAATAAGCAAAGCACTGGGAAGTAAAATACTTTCTTTATTAGGAAAAGCTGGGGGAACTCTGCTTTATGTCTGACCTCTGGGAAGAGTGAATAGGTTCTCATTCACGTTGTGGACTATCAAGTTACAATCATCACAGGCACATTAGCCGTGATGGAGAGTAAGAGGTGAATATTTCCAGTGATGTGCTGTGTAGACTGTGAACCAAATGTTGTCACTGAGCCTTCAGCATGTAGCTTCCTGGTGTAAGCTGGTATTTTTAGACCTGAGGAACATGTGGATGCAAAGGAGAATGAGTCATGGGAATCAGGGGCTCTGTCCCTATTTCATGTTTTAAAGCATGGCACACTCTGGCTAGGAGAGTTGCCAAGAAATGAGTTAATATTGTATAACTTTTAGTTCTGATTTGGTTGATAGTTCTCTTGGTTGATAGTGGTCTTTGAACCTGGTCAAAGGACCATCTTGTTTTACTTGTTATTACTGTTTAGTGGAGAGTAGGAGGTGAATAAAAACAAGTGTAGAAGTTGGATGTGGTATGCACTCATTTAATCTCAGCACTCCAGAAACAAAGGCTGGCAGGTCTCTGTGAGTTCAGTGCTAGCCTGGTCTACATAGTGAGTTCTAGGACAGCCAGAACTATGTAGAGAGATCCTGTCTAAAAACAAGACACCCCCCCCAAAAAAAAGATGAAAACCCAAACAAAAAAGCAAGTGTATTCACTATGATGTGGTAGAAAGCAGTTGATTCAGTCCTAGCTTCATAACTAGGTAAGTGCACATTTTAGGCAGAGTTACTTCTCCCCACTGCCTATTTCTTTCCCTAAATGGGAGTTTATATGAGTTTTTTCTATGATAGTCTAGTTTTAAATTTCTTAGTTTTTAATATTAATGTGAAAAGATATATATAGAAAGTACAGATTTTGAAAATGAGGTTTCATAGTGGCATTAATCTTATCTTCTGTACTTAGGTTTAGTGCCATACAGTGTGCCGCTGCGGTCCCCAGAGCTCCTACAGAATCCTCATCTTCTAGAAAATTTGAGCAATCAAATCTTCAGGCAGCAAGTGAGGCACAAGCCAATGAACTGACCACCAATGGCCATGGCCCACCTGCCTCCAAACAGGCTTCCCAGCAGCCCAAAGGAATTATGGGAATGTTGCTCTCCAAAGCTGCTACTAAAACTCAAGACACCAACAAGGAAACCAAAGCAGAGGCTAAAGAAGTAACAAATGTAAGTCTTCTTGACGTGAGTCCTTTTTATAAAAGCATAGGATCCAGGAAAACCTTCAGAGCTATGTAAATAAATAAATACATATAAACAAGTTATGCTAGTTTATTTACAGAAGGGCTCACAATCATTGCTGAGTTTTTTACTTTAGTTGAGCATTTATGATGATTTGTTTGAGGTCTTGCTCTCAGGGCCAGACTGGCCTCAAGCTAAGGTTCTCTTCCCTCTGCCTCTCCAGCCTGGGAAGAGGCATGAGCTGCCATGCCTGGCCTAGTGTGATCCATATTTTAGTTAATGTTCAATGTTCTCCTCTGGTAGTCCATTCTCCCTCCCCCCCATAATACTTCTCTCCAAGATTGGATTCTCTTTCTATAAAATGATGCTACGCAGTTTGTACACTAAATAAAATTGTTGTGACAGCCATTGAAATAAAGTTCGTGAAAATATGGTTCTGAAAAACTGCAAGTTGAGGAATTGTAGTAGTGTGACATTTGAAAGCATCTAGTTGGGGTTTTGCTATATGTGTTTTCCTTTCTGGCACATTTAACATTCATGCTCTGTTTTATGCTTTTTTCCTCCTCCTTCTTTTTTTTGGTTTTTTGAGACAGGGTTTCTCTGTGGCTTTGGAGGCTGTCCTGGAACTAGCTCTTGTAGACCAGGCTGGCCTTGAACTCACAGAGATCCGCCTGCCTCTGCCTCCCAAGTGCTGGGATTAAAAGCTTGCGCCACCAACGCCCGGCTTTTTTCCCCCTTCTTGTCCTCATCCTTCATTTATTTCTCTTGTTTTTTCTTGTTCAGTACTCTGAACTAACTTAAGGGCATTAAGAAAAGTAACTATATCTTGGTTTGGTGGTACATGACTGTAATCCCAGCATTCAGGAGGTTGAGGCCTGAATGAGAGTATCTCAAAAAGAAAATGAAAGAGAAATATAAAGATAGTATTTTAAAAATCCAGAAAAGCACAGTTATTGCTGTTACTACTAACCCTTCCTCCCATTGTCATTTCCAAGTCTCTGCTTTGAGAAAGAAGAGGGAAGGCAGGAAACAAGCAAGCATGGAACCCTGTGCACCAACAGTCCAACCTTTGTGTCAAGCTCTCATCAGTTCTGTGGGAATCTTACTGTTTTGTTTTTATTTTATATGTGTAAAACTAGAGCCCAGCCTTGTAAAATAATTTGCCTGCAGGTCATACGGCTATTAAGTGGTAGGCCCAGGATTCAGACCCACCTCTAATAATTAAAGATACTTTTCGTTCTTCCCCATTGTTTACTATACATACCACTTCTGATTTAATTCTTTTAAGACAAATAGTTTTAAACTGTGCTCAAGAAAAGCTCAGGTGTATTCATAAATAATTTGTAAAGACAGAAAGCAAGCTTTGGGAGTTAACATCAAGTGCTGTCTGGTGTTCTGGATTCCTGTTCTAAGTTCTTTTGGTTTTTTGAGACAGGGTTTCTCTGTGGCTTTGGAGGCTGTCCTGGAACTAGCTCTTGTAGACCAGGCTGGCTTCGAACTCACAGAGATCCGCCTGCCTCTGCCTCCCAAGTGCTGGGATTAAAGGCGTGCGCCACCAACGCCTGGCCTGTTCTAGGTTCTTATAGCTAACATCTGCACATTATGCCATGACATACAGTCTGTGCTGTTAATATAGAGTTGACACTATCGAGGTGGTGCTTTGTTTTCCTGACAGTTCCTTACCTGGCCCCTTCTAGCTTTGATCTTGCTATATAGCTGATAGTGATTTTGAACTCCTGATCTTCCAAATTCCACCTCCCTTATTCTGGAATTACTCTGACTTTTAGTGTGCTGTATTGCTCGAGATGATTGAGGCCATGGTACTTTAAGAACAGCCTATATATTAGACAAAATTAGAAATGATATGTTTTCTTTTTTATGCTTTTAGGCATCTTCAGCTGGGGGCAAAGCACCAGGAAAAGGGAATGTGATGAGCAACTTTTTTGGAAAAGCTGCTATGAGTAAGCATGCTCTTAATTTCTTTGATGAATGTTACTGGAGTAACATATGCTTGAGGTGGAGACCATCTAGGCATTCCCATTTCCTAACATACTCGCAGTGTACTGACCAGTGTTGATGAAAGTAACCAACCACTCAGAGAACTTTCTGGGTATACTTGAGAGCTCCTGGAGGGTATTTCTGCCTTTACTTCTTGTCTTAGGAAGAAAATAAAGTGCTTCATGAAGTTTTTGAAAGTAAGTAATTAAAGTGGGAGAATGGCTGCTTATATAGAGTTGCACTTAGTATCGTGGATGCTGGCATCAGTTTGTTTGGTGTGACCCTAACTACTAATGTCTCTCCAGGGACCACAAAAACAAATATTTTGCCTTTCTTAAGTTATTTTTTAAGATTACTCACAGCACTGAATTAAATGTGAATGTTAATATAGGCCATAATAGCCAGGCCATTTAAATGCATTTTTTTTTTTGAGGAAGGAAAGACCTCTTTTATATAAATAAGAATTCTTTCTTAATGGAAAGAGCCAATAGTTACATACTCTTATACTTCTCATATCAAGTCCACATCCCCTGGGGTGTGTGGTGTAATGCCATGGAGAATGTAGGAACCACAGGGTACTTACCACACACTTTCTTGGAGCATCAGTTTTACCTTTTGTTGCATGCCTTTCCATGCAAAATGAGTCTGAATTCTGCTTTTCCACGGTGCTCAGATTGGTACTCCATGGGGAGTTTTATTTGCTGTGGAGACTCTCAGAAAAGAATGTGTTTGTGTTGTAAAAGTATGAAAAATGTGGCACTTGTAAGTTATCCAGAAACATGCTTTGGTGATGGTGCCAGAACAGTGCACAGGAGGTTCCTATTTTGTGAACACACATCGTAATGTCATGTCATTAGCCTGCATGGCTGGTACTGGTTCACTGTACTGTTTGATATTGTTTCTTGACAATTGATGTTTTTGTTATTGTTTTTGTGTGTGTGTAACCTTTTACAACTTCTTTTGATTATTGCGTGTATCTGTGGGAATAAGTTACATGAGTGCAGTTTCCCATGGAAGCCACTAGAAGGTGTGGCATCTGCTGGAATTAGAGTTGCAGACCCTTGTGAGCTTCCTGATGTGGGTGCTGGGAAGAGTAGGTAGAACATGGTCTGAACCACTGAGCCACCCCAGTCCCCAGTGAAGAATCTTTTGTTTATCATCTAAAAAAATACATTAAATATGTTAATATTTGTTAATAGTAAAAAATACCAAATTATGCAAATGTTGGTTGTATACCTACTATGTGCTTGACTCTGTTGCACACTAGTGATGGAATGGAAAATAAGACAAATAAACCTTTGCCTGTAGATAGATGCAAGCAATGAAAGGGTACTTAGCCTTAAAAAGAATGAAATTCTGTTACTTGCAAAATGTTCACTTCCCTTAGTCAATTTGGGATATTTTAGTGGGAAAGTTTGAAAAGCACAGGTAAGAACAACAGAATCCAAAATTGAAGCAACAGTACCACCATTGGGCTAGTAAAAGTCCGCCATTTAGGTTTTCCACATAAACTCTCAGAAATATGAGTAGAGTTTATTTTATATTCCAATTCATCTATACTATCAAAGAACATACATGCTTTTAAAAACTATTGTACTAACCTGGGCATATCAGTCAAGACTAAGATAGGTGATTTTCCATGTGGTAGATGATTAAGCTATTAAAGAACAGGTAATGCCAAATGGCTTTTTGAAGAACCTCTCACTGTGTTAGTTCTCTAACCATATATTGTGACTTTGCCTATAAAAAGCTATCATTGGGTACACACAAGGCTAGGCTATGCATTTCTGTATTTCTCAGATGGCTGGGCCATTCCTGTCCTGCATGGTCACTTACATGTGGTGTCTCAGCTTAATATAGGGACCCAGGTCAGGAGTTGAGCTAACTAAGGCCCATGTCCAGCGCTTACTTTTCTTCCCAGTGATACCTTGGGTAATGCCCTTAATGTTTACACATAATAGTAGTCTTATAAATATTATCCCAGTTCTCACAAAGAAAAGTGACTTTTAGACTTGTCTAAGGAAAGCAGGACTTGAATTAATTTCGTTTTCTCATTGGAAGTAGTAGTGAGATAGGACTATCCAGGCATTAAAAGGTAGGATACAGGGCTTAGAGAGATGGCTCAATGGTTGAAAGCACTGGCTGCTTTTCTAAAGACCCAGTTTCAATTTCCAGCACTCAAGTGGTGACTCACAACATCTGTAACTGCAGTCACAGGGGATCCAGTGCCTCTTCTGGCCTCTACAGGCACCAGACTTGCATGTGGTACATAGATATACGTGCAGACAAAATACCCATACAAGCAAAAAAATGATTTTTTAAAAAGGTAGAATAGAAAAGATGTTGCTACAAACTTAGCTGTTAGCCCATTTTTTAAGCTGTACTCTTGAACATCATGACTACCTGCAGCTCCGTTGTCCTCATTTGAAAGTAAGGTGATAATTCACAGAGTTGAATTTAGGGGCTGTGAAGCCTGAGGACCTGAGTTTGATTCCTGGGATCTGCATGGTAGAAGGAGAGAACATACTCCTTTTTTTTTTTTTTTTTTTTTTTTTGGTTTTTCGAGACAGGGTTTCTCTGTGGCTTTGGAGGCTGTCCTGGAACTCGGTAGTCCAGGCAGGTCTCAAACTCACAGAGATCCGCCGGCCTCTGCCTCCTGAGTGCTGGGATTAAAGGCGTGCGCCACCAACGCCCGGCTGAGAGAACATACTCCTTTAACCTTTACACTTGTACCATGGCATATACACACCCAGCATATACAAAATAATTACATAGATGTAATTAAAAAATTTTTAAATCCCAAAGCTGAATTTGGTACTTTTAAGCCTTGTGTTTGCTTATTATGGCTATGGTGTAATGAGAGATTTGTGGGAATCGGAAGTGAAGATCATAGATGTTTTTCAATCAACTATGCTCTTTTTTAGGACAGGCACTGTTTCTTATCCCTTGCTCCTAACATGTTACCTGGCCCGTAGTGGACTGTACAAGAATGATGGATTAATATTGCATGATGGGCGATATATCGTCTGCTATGCTTTATTTGTAGATAAACTTAAAGTCAATTTGGATTCAGAGCAAGGAGTGAAAGAAGACAAAACAGTGGAGCAGCCCCCAGTATCTGTCACTGAACCAAAGCTGGCAGCTCCCACAGCTCTGAAGAAATCCAGCAGGAAGGCAGAGTCCGTGAAGATGCAGCTGAAGGAAAAAAAATGGTAGGAAAATTTTGTCACTTGGGGGAGGGAGAGTGTCCTGGGAAGGTGAGAAGGTCTGTTTGGACTTTGTACAGCAGGCAGTTTTCAGCTTGGTACTAAATCCTGTTAATACTGCTAGTACGAAGAGAGAAGCCCCACAGCTCATCTAGTGAAGCAGGACCACAGGGCAGCCTGTACGGGTAGTTTAGGAACCAGGACCACATTTTGTCCCCACTAATGCAAATTGATCTTCTCTGCCCCGAGACTTCAGTTTAAGTGTATAGACACCGTGAAAATGTGCCTGTATGTGTGTGTTTCACATCAAATTACCCAGCTAGAAGTTACTGTTTCCAGTCCAGTTTAAGAGAAGAAGTTCTTTGTTTTCTTTTTATATCAATGAGTTTATTTTTCAAGTGGTAAAATGTAATTAGAAAAGAAAATAAAAAGCACACAAGCTGTTAAAAATGGATCCAGGAGTTTGAGACACTACCTCATAGCTGGTAGGAATTAGTCTGTTGAAAGAAATTTTAAAGGACACTGTCAGCACTGATAGGCCCACAAAGAACCAACTTTTGTGGTAAAGTTGGAGCAACAAAATGGTGACATTTCAGAGTGTTAAGGCTCTGTCCAGTGGGCCTACCTCCCAGGAACACATGATATACATGGATTAAAATGTCCCTAACCATGATCACAACACTCACTGCTGGAGACTGTCACCAGGCATGTACTGAGCATCTCTCCTCTAAATAGCAAGTTAAGTATAGATTTTTAGTGGGTGTCCTGTACCAGGTTAAGATTTTTTTTCTGAATTTTTTTTCTACTCCAAGTTTTCTGAGAGACTTTTACTCATTGGTTTTAAAATTTAACATGCTTTTTCTGGCTGATACAGTTTTTCTGCTAATTATGCTGGGTTATTCTGATTGACATGAAAATGTTAAGCCAGCCTTGAATTCTTAGGATTGGCTCTCTGGTTGTATTTATTGTCGTTACACACTGCTAGATTAGTTAACATTGCCCCTGGGGTGGGGTTGTTTCTATATTTTTGAGGGCCACAGTTCAGCTATTTTCTTTCTTGGTAATTGACTAGTTTTAGTATCAAATGTGTGTTAATTTCCTAAAAGGAGTTTCAGTTTTCCAAAGGAGTTTGTGAATCTTTTTTTTCCCCTTTTACATTTATTTAGTGTATGTGTGGTACGTGTGTATGTACATACCATGGCACAAAGGACATAACTTGTGGGAGTCAGTTTTCTGCTTCTACAGTGTGGGGTCCTAGAAGAGAACTTGGTTCATTAGGCTTGGCAGCAAGCACCTTCATCTGTTGAGCTATCTCTAGCCCTATGTAGATATATTTCTGATACATTTAAATGTATAATAAAATCTATCAGTGAATCTGGACCTGGATTTTCTTTATAGGAAGGGTGTGTGTGTGTGTTTGTGTGTGTGTGTGTATGTGTATGAGAGAGCTTCCTTATATAGTGTTACTCAAATTTTCTACTTCTTTTTGGATCAGTTTTGAGTAAGTTGTGCTTTTAAAGGAATTTATTTTCTCTAAGTGCTTGAGCTTGTTAAAGTTGTTCATAATCTAGCCTTGTTCTTGGAGTATTTGCAGACTATAGTTTTGACTACAGATTCTTTTATTCTTTAATTACCACTTGGAAATACATGTTTTCCCTCTATTGTAAAAGGCTTATTAATCTTTTCTTCTTAACCTATCAACTTTAGGCTTCGTGAGTTTTCTTTCCTTTCTATTGCTTTGCTTTTTGCTCTAATGTTTATTCCCTTAGGCTTACTTTGGGTTTATTTTATTCTTTTCCTAGCTAAAGTAGGAAAAAAAGTTGACATTCAAAATCAAATAAGATAGGTACTCAGTGACAGAAAGACTATGGTTTGCACGTATTTGTCTCTAACACACAGCAGGCCCTTAAATTATTTATTGATGAGTGCTGTAATGGAGAAAGCAGACAGAGAAGCTAAATAATGTCGAGAGAGAGTCTAGGTTTTTATGACATCATTAGAATGGCTTTATGGTCTTGTCTATGCCTTTGCCCGTGTTCTTTAAACTTTAGAATATTATCTTCCCTTCCTACCTGTTGAATATCTACTTAACTTTTAACAGTTGTGTCCCTCAATGTTATTTGTCCATTAAATTTTATCATGTTGTATAATGGCTAGTGCAGTTGGCCAAAGTACGTTCGTCTTTTGAGGCAAGGTTTTAACTGTGTGTCTCAGGCTGGCTTCAGTTTTAGAATCCTCCCCCCTCTGCAGAAATTATAGATGTGTGCCACATCTGACCTCCCGGGGCTTTTTGAGAACAGTATTTCTTTTCTGGTCTTTGCAGTACTGTTGTTTAGCTGCTTATTTAATGCATGTTAAATGACTGAAAGGCCAGGAGGGGGAAAGGCATTGACAGGACTCTAATCTGACCTATAGAGAGAGAACTGATGAAACCTTTTATATAGTGTATATATCTTCAAATAGTCAATCTTCCTGCTGGGCATGGTGGTTCACCTCTCAGGAGGCAGAGGCAGGAAGATCTCTGAGTTGGAGGCCAGCTTGGTCTTCATAGTGAGTTCCAGGACAGCCAGGGCTGCATAGAAACCCTGACTCAAACAAACAATTAAAAACAGATCAGTTTTTCCTCATCTACTTTGTTGTTTTCTACCTTCTGGAGTTATGACTGTGAGTTTGAAAGAAGTTTCGTAGGAACAAATGCACACTTAGACATATGCATACTTTTTGTTTTGTAATGTGCTTCATTTATTCCCTGATGGCAACAGGGGGAAACGAGTAGACTTGTCTGATGATGAAGCAAAGGAAACGGAAAACCTGAAGAAAAAGAGGAGAAGAATCAAGCTTCCTCAGTCCGATAGCAGTGAAGATGAAGGTAGATATTGGTATTAATAATTTTTGTTAAGGGATCATTTCTTGGTTCATACTCAAGGATCTAAAATTTTCTCTTACTATGAACTACAATGGGAGCAGTAATCCTAGCAATTAGAATAGCTCTCTTTGAAATCTGCTGTAGTCCTTTGATCTGAATAGTGATCATTTGGTAACTTGTGAAAATGCAGAAAACAGAAAGTGTGACTACTTTTACACATTATCTAAGCCCTTTCTTTTCTCTTTAAGGCTAGTGTTCCTTTGGCTACCTTTGTATACATATTTTAGACACACTAAAAAATAAAACTGCAGTAAAACTGGAAGGTCATATATATAGTGTCACTGTTGAAAGGGAGTGGCACTGTGAACCTCCCGGGGTCAGGATGTAGGCAGTGTTGTAAGATAAGCAAGCAGAATAAACACAGGAGACTCTACAGGGAAATTAATATGCTTTTAAAACAAATATCGAGTACTTTCAATTTCAAAAGTATGTATAGGTGTTTTGTTTATATGTTTATATGTACATCATATACACATAGTGCTCAGAAGAGGGCATTAGATTCCCTGGACTGGAGTTACAGAAAGTGGTGACCTGCCTGACATCTGGGTGCTGGGAATTGAACCCAAATCATCTGGAAGGGCAGCCAGTGCTCTTAAACCGCTGCACCACCTCTCCAACCCCAATATCACGTATTCTTAAGACCTTACCCCAAACCATGTAAAGTATACAGAAAAAACTAAAGAGAAAGGTTCTTGAGTTACATTGTGCTATCCAGGAATCTGAGCAGAGAGAGCTGGGCTAAACCTGGAGCTGTCATAGGCAGTTTTCCAAGAATTAAGGTATAATGTATCTGGTCATTTTATGTAACTGGAAGAGATCCAGCATTATAGAAACAAACATGAACAATGTAAATAAACTAATTAAAGAGAGAAGAATGATAATGCAAAAAGGAGTCTGACTGTCAAAGGACAAAACTAAAGATGAAATAATTGCTGAAAACAGTTGCTGGAGTAACTGAAAAAGGTAATAGAGCCTCTGCCCCAAAGGGCACTAACTATATAAGTGAACGGAAAGAACACCAGAAACGCAGAAGTATGAGCAGACTTGGGAACTAGTACCGGGAGCTTGGACCTGTCTATGCTAGATGCATGTTTTCTGGGTTGAGAGAATCCTAGTCATGAGTGGAGGCTAAGGATTACAGCCTCTGATGTCCTGGGAGGGAAACAGGACCTTTCAGAAGCATGGGTCTTAATGGCTTTTTGAAACAAGCAGGGGCAGGGCTTCCCCAGAGGGGTAGTTAATGTGTTTTCATTTCATACCATTTATGAAAATAAATGAGTGAGATTACTTAAAAGAGTATTCTAGAGCATATAAATGAAGTTCACGAGGGAGACACCTGGCCAGTTAAGAATTAAAACATGTGAAACTCTGTGGGCATGTGGGAAAATAAGTAGGAAGTAAGCTCAAGAAAATGTGATAGCTGGAGCAGCCTTCCCAGTTACCAACCAGGAAAGCAAGCTGGGGAGAGGGTTCTGGAAAGACTTTAAGCCAAAAGCTCAATGTACATTGAGAAGATAGATAGGGGCTAGGGAAATGGTTTCACCAATAAGTGTTTGCTTCACAAGCACAAAGGTCTCTCCTGTCACCCATGTAAGAGATATGCACTTGTCATCCCAGCACTGGGGAGATGGAGCCAGGCTGATCCCCAGAGCTGGCTAGGCAGTTAACCTAGTCTAATGATTCAGCGGCAGAGCTCAACTCAGAGCACACAGACAGCTCCCGGGGAACAGCATCCGTGGTTGAGCTTTGGCCTCCACACACATGTACAAACATGTATACCTGCACACACATGAACATGCACACAACTCCTTCTACTCACAAAGCTAAGACTGAAGAGTCTAGTGCTATTGAAAGCGCCCCCTCTGAATTGAGTTCCTGGGTTGAATGAGCACTATTGCATCCTTCTGAAATGCTCTGTTGTTCTGTGGCCCACATTTCTAATAACCAAGGGCTGTAAGAAACGTGACTGCGGCTGCTTAGTTGGGAAAGAACTGTGAAGAAATGTGGAGGTGAGCAGCACGTGACAAGATGACAGAGAGCAGAAGCCCTCAGGTTCTTTTCTCTGGCAGAGATAGTTTTTGGCATCCTAGTGAACTTATAAAAGTCTACCATTTTATTCTATAGTTTCTGTGTCTGAAGGCCAGCAGGATTTTATTTTGAATGTTTACACGGTCTCTTTACTTGTGTTCCACTGATTATAATGGCTTGATGTGCTGTCTCAGGCTAGTCATTAGCAGATGTGCCGCAGGCGTGCAGGAGACGGCAGGGGCTCTAGAGGTAGACAGACTGGGGTTAAATCTTCCTGCACCGTTTACTAGCTGATGTTAGGCAGGTGCCTTAACCTCCAGTCCTTGTTTACTCTCCCAGAACTGCAGTGTTACTACATACTAGCTGTTTGGACATTAAACAACACATCAGAAATGCCATGACAGCACTTGACACACAGTAGCTTTTCTCATGGCGCTCTCCCCCCCACCCTCCATTGAATGTTCAGAGATCCTTATATATGAGCTTTGGCAATTCCTTTCACCTTCTTATTGGAAAGGCTCTCCTTCACCCTGGAAGTGTCATAAGCACCCTTAGTAGTTCTGCGTAATTAAAAAACAAAACAAAACAGTGTGTTGCTAGGAAGAAACAGTTTTTATGGCTGTGTTAAGTATTTGCTAACATTTTCAGTCCTTATAGGTTGTTTGTGGAGAATATTAAATACATCACACACACACACTTTTTTTTTAAGTAAGGATAGGTATTACAGGAATATATATTGAGTCCTAGGAAGCAGTGCCTGCTTTCCAGGAATTGGAATTACTAGTCTCTGCCAGAGGACTCTTGACAAACAAGTGGTTACATTGCTGGTTCACTGTAGTGAATTTTCCCACAGTTCTTACTCTGCCCCAGTAAAAGCTGCTTCCTTGAGGTGAAGCTTCGCCACCGGAATGTTTCTTGTCATTGAGTACACTAATGCACAAAGCATCATTATGTTTACGTCAGTAGGAGCGTGTTGAGTCAGAATGCTTGACTTAATGGTAAAGACTGAGTATGGACAAGTTTTTAAAAAAATTTCTTTGAACCTCAGCTATACGAAACAAATGATTTGTGGAGTTATTATAAAATGAATGATTGATGTTTATAAAGTAGAAAATGTTGGTTGCTTATCCTTAAAATATTTAGGTTTAAACACAGTATTACATATACAGAGTTTTTAAAGTCAGATAAAACAAAGTTTATGATGATAATCCCTACCGTCTGAATCACGGAGCTGACTTTTGTTGTCGGTGTTCCCCAGCTGTCTTCCATCTCGCAGATGTGTTGAAATCTCTTTTTCATTCTCTTCTCTTCCAGGGGGATTATGACATTTTATTACTGTCTGATTCTTTGGGAGGTGGGCAGCTGGAAAGTGGGAAGTGGGAACTGTCTGGGGTCTTCCTTTGACCTGGATATTCCTCACCCCGAATTTTATTGAGGAAGTACTTATTCTCCTTGATTTAAAACATCAGAGGTACTGTTGCTCTGTGTGCAGTGCCAGAACAACGGTGACATCCCTGCCTCTTTGGACTATAAGTGAGGGGGGCTTAGGTGAACAGCCGTATGCAGTGCTGGGAGGGGTCTGAGGTGGTACCATTGAAGGTGTCCCCTTGGGTAAGTCATGTTTTTGAGGAACGGAATACCTTGCTTTATCACCGAGTGTTCAAAAGTCCTTTTCTTTGGCTTCCTTGCTGCCTAGACTTTCTCAGACAACTATGGCCCAGCTTTGTAATGAGCCGTTACTTCAGAACATTGAGTTCCTGGTTCTATGGTGTCACTGCTCTTGCTTAGACTCCCATCATGAACTGACTTCACGGAGCTGGGTTAATAGCTGGACTGAAGCTGCTCTGTTTCCCTTCTGTTTCTGTCTCTTGTTTCACCGAGCTTATAAAGTTAGGGCCCATTTCATACTTGAAGTATCTAATTTATTGCTTTATTCTGGCTCTTACTCTGCTTCACCTCTTTAGGTCATTTGCTCATGAACCCTCCACTGTCATAATTTTTAACACTGACCTAATCAGTTGGGAGAAATTCAGATCCAAGATTTGTGCAAAGAATTAATGTAGCCAGGAGATTCAGGGAGCAGGTGAGGCTAAGCAGCTACCCAGGCCCATGGCCAGCAGTTTCTTTGTGGTGATTAAGCAGTAGGTTGGGGGTTAGGGAGATTAGCTCTTTGCTCACCTAGTAAGTACAGGGCTCTGGGTTCAGACCTCAGTTCAGCTTCCAGGGTTGGGGGAAGATAAAATTACGAGGAAGATGATGATGACAACATTAACAACAAGAAGCAAAAAGCAGTAGGTCTGCTGAGGCTTCTCTCTTCCTCCCTGGTGGCCTTCTCTCAGACCTGTTTCTTACTGAGAAACCGGGATCCCTCCCATGGTGCTCCACTGTCGGGTACTATTTCCACAACATTGTTTCTCTCCTAACTTTTTCTTGCCCGTTCTCTGTGTGGCAAAGCAAAGCTTATAAGGCTCATCTGTAGGGAAGTCACTAGAAATAGTCTCACACAGCAGGTTTTAGAACTTTCATGGAGATCAGCTTTCAAAGGTGATTCTTCTCACAGTCTTGTGCTTAATGTCAGCTAGACAGCCTGGGTCTAACAGTCATGTCAGGCATTTGCAACTCATCCTCAGACGATCGTGGCAAAGATGCTGCTGTGGAGCGTTGAGTATAACAGGCTGTCTCTACTGAGTGAGAGGAGGACATGGATGGGTGGGTCACAAAGGCTGTGGAATCACACTTGGGTTTAAACCCTGTTGTTATGAGTTGTAAGCCTCTGTCAAGTGAAGAGCCTCTTGGAACCTCTGTTTACTCAACTGTATGATGGAGTAAGATCTGTCTCTTGGGTTGTGGTGAGAAAAAAGTGAAACTCCCGACATGTGGTAAGTGGTCAGTATATGTCAACCAACTTTAGAAGTTTTTGACTCTCCAATTGTATTAATATATATTTTAAGTCTCTGACTGCAGTCCTTGTTTGTCATGAATTATTGTTTGCAGAAGGCAGATGCAGTGGAGGAGGTATTGTGCCAGTTAGAGCTTGTAGTTGTCTTCATTAAGCTTGTTCTATTTCCCCAGTCTTCCAAGACTCTCCTGAGATGTATGAAGCAGAGTCACCACCCCCACCTCCTCCTGCATCTCCACCTCCTGATTCTGTGCCTAAAACCGAGCCCCCTCCTGTCAAGGTAAACCCACCACAGTGTTCCATCCTGTGTGTCTTCTCTCTCGGGACCCTACGGTCATTGTGTTGTCATGTGTGCCTTTCTCTGTGCTTCTCCAGTGCCTATAGCTGGCTCTGGTCTCATCATGATTCCCTTCAGGTTGGCCACATGGACACGATTCTCCTCTTACTGAGGGGTACCCTGCTGTGGAGCATAGCCTTAGGAAGGCTACAGGGCTAGCTCTGGGCAACTGTTTGGTTTTTTTGTGATCATCACCATCAGGGCTGCTGTACTACCCAGCTGCAGTTGGAATCCAAAAAGAGGCTCTGCCTCTATCAGGGCAAATTGTGAGAGATAAAAGGAAACAAAACTTAAATTTGTTCTTAGGGAAAGGACTAGTGAGAAAAGCCACAACAAACAGCAGCATGCAGTTTTGAACACTCTTTAGCTGTGACTTGTCAGTTAGTAGACAGTAGTGGGTGGAGAAGTGTTGAAAAGATGAGTGCCGAGACGCCTCCTTTGCTTTGTAACCAGTAGTTTTCTTTAATTCATTCTGGTAAGACTTAATGTAAGTCTCGTACTATTGTATCATAGCCAAAGAAACGGGATGGAAGACAGTGGAGATAAAGGGAGCTGACGGTAGTAATAGGTGCTTCTGGCTAAACTAGTTGGGTGTAATGTTCAAATGCCAAGGCTGAACATGTAAGTATCTTCTGCAGTCATGAGAGCCCCTGGTCTGGTCTAGGGGCATCTCTGCCCAGTGTCCTAGAAAGCCTTTACACAGCATATTGCAGTGGTATGCTTTCCTTGTCTCCTTTCCACTAAGGTCCTTAATCTGTATGTCTTTCTCAGGAGGAACACAGATCATTCCTAAGCATACTGCTCCTCTTTGTGTAAACAGGAAGACGCCAGGCCTGTGTATACAGCAAGCATTCCGTGCCTGTGCAGTAGAGAGTTCCTCGTGCTACCTTTTATCATAATGGCATGTTGTAGATTTTAAATCTTCTGTCATTTTTCTCTTTAGTTTCACTGGTCAGCTTAGTATTGTTACTCTCTGATCTTTCAGAGTTCAAGTGGAGAAAACAAAAGAAAACGAAAGCGTGTACTGAAATCTAAAACCTTTGTGGATGAAGAAGGCTGCATAGGTAAGGCAACTGTTTGGTGCCGGGCTTGAGTTCGTACCTTAGTGAGGCACTGTAATCCCTGCAGAGCAGGCTGTCTCGGGTGTGAGCGCACATGAGTTTAGGCCATGCAGGGCTGCTGTAATCCCTGCAGAGCAGGCTGTCTCGGGTGTGAGCGCACATGAGTTTAGGCCATGCAGGGCTGCTGTAATCCCTGCAGAGCAGGCTGTCTCGGGTGTGAGCGCACATGAGCTTAGGCCATGCAGGGCTGCTGCTCCTGTCTGAGGCCTACGCTCAGAGGAGCAGAGTGCACAGAAGACTGCAGTGAGAGTTCATTAGGACTCTGTGGCTGATGTTCAAAACCAAGCCCTAAGGTTTTGACAAGGTGTGGGACTTGGGCTTGTTTTCGCAACTTTCTCCACATGGACTGTTAACAGGCTTGGAGGCAGTAATGAGAATGCTCACATAGCACCTTTTTTGCAAGGTTTTCAGTCCAAGTGCAGCCTGCTGGATCTTGGCTCTGGTGAGCAGCCAAGGTAGTGCTTTCTTCACTCTGCTTTGACTGTGCCAGTTGACTAGCACAGGGACTAGCCCCGCCCTTGCTAGATTATATTTTTTTCCTGTGGGTTTGTAGCAGGAACTATGGAGTTGGGTCCTGAGTTAGGTTGGGATGAATTTCTGATCAAGGAATAGATTTCTAAGATCAGAGAAGCTGAATGGAATGCTGTCCACACAAAGCAGGCTTCTTGGAATGGCAGCCAAGGTGCTGTGATTTGAAGTTCAAATCTCATTTGTCCTATAATTTGAAGTAGCAACAGCTTTGACTATAGAAACGCTCTTTTAAATTTTGATATACCAAGTGTGATGCTCAAGACATTGGGTTGATATGGCCTGGCTGGCTTTTAACTTTGCAAGCAATGTACACATGACATCAGCCACAAGACAGCCAGTGGTTTCAGTCAGTAAGGAAATAGCAAGATATGATGCCATAACCATGCTGCCATTGAGTGGAGAATACAGCTCATGACGTAATGCGCTTACTACCAACTATGAAGTCAAATTTCTTTTCTATAATGGCTCTTCAGATCTTCCTAACAGAAATTGAATTGAGTTGTAGGATGCATGTAACATAGTGTGTGTTGGGGCTGGAGGATGTTCTGGGATTGTGCTTGCTGGGCTATAGGTATTTCATGGGAATGTTTCAAGTGTATTCTCAAACGATTGGCACGTTGCTCTAATATTGTTAGCCATGTGAAATACCTGAAAGTCTTGCTAAAATTGGAATTTCTTCATTTTTCTTGTTTATCTCTTTTCCTCCTCCCTTTGTAGACATGGTCTTACCATATAACTTAGACTGGTCTCATCAGGGCTCTCTCACCAGTCTCCAAGGACATAGATTTCAGGTCTTTGCCACCACACCTGACTGAGATGCTGCATTTCTAGTTAGATTACCAGAAAGAGTCCTCTATGAGTTATATCTTTATTTGTTTTTCTTTTGTTTTTTGAGACCGGGTTTCTCTGTGTAGCTACTCTGCAGGTCAGACTGGCCTTGAACTCACAGAGATCCACCTGCCTCTGCCTCTGGAGCTCTGGGATTACCACTGCCTGGTGCTTCAAGCACTTTTGTGCATATGAGGTTACTTTTTCAGTGAGGAGATGTTTCCCTTCACTGTTTCTGTATCTATCATTTGCTGCATCCAGAAAGGCTGAAGAAGAATTTAGGTACTTCTGCTTTAGTCCTTATCACAGGGAGGTCACTATATGTGACCTATGATTGGTGCATATGTTACAGTGGCATCGGAAAGCCTCTCCATCTGCTCTGTGGAAGCATGATTGGAAGCCACTGCTTCTGCCTGTGCACACTGGGTCTCTTTGTGACTACTCATCGACATAGTTCTTTCCCAGGTTTCCTTTGGGAGTTTTAGTTTTAGTTTTTTTATATGTATACTGTATGCTTGTGTGTGCATCACATGTGTGCCTGGTGCCTGAGGAGATCAGATGAAGGCAGTTGAACCCTGGAGTTGGCATTATGGACAGTTGTGACCTGCCATGTGGATTCTGGGTACTGAATTTAAATTCCCTACAATAGCAGCAAGTGCTTCTAGCCATAGAGCTGTCACTCCGGCCCATTTTTTTTTTTTTGATTTCAAAAACCAATAAAAGCATATTGTGTCATTTTATTTTATACACTCCGGCCCATTTTAATGGCAGAGGAGAAGGCTAAATATGCCTTTGGCTGCTAGGAAGTAAGAAAATTGGTAACTTTGCTTATTTTATCATTGTTTTAAGACTTTCAAATATATAATCTAGAATGGTTTGTTTGGGGAAGTTTTTTTCATGATATAAGCTGAAGTAAATTTTGGGTTCATTAGTAGTTATTTAGTCTCAAGAACGGAACAATTGAGTAACAAACTGTGGTGTGGCTTCAGATGGGGGCAGTGGTTGACATTAGGATGGAGCAAGCTAGTAGAGTCCATGGAGAGAGATGGCTAGGAGAGTGAGGGCTCTGATGGGCTAAATGAAGAACTAGGAAAGTGAACATTGGAAATGGGCAAGTGTGGGGGCCATGGGAATAGGACTCAGGAAGCCAGTCAGAGCATAGAGTTAGGAATAGCTGTTTGAGATACAGACAGTCCTTGTGTAGAGCTTAGGAAGTTAGCCAGTGTAGACATGGACCCAAGTAATGGGCTTGGGCAACTAGATGACAAAGGCCCATCAGATGACCTGGGGCTTAGCTGTGTAGGAGTGGGGGGGGGGGAGCGGTTCTCAGCCCCACTTAGATGCCATGTGACCACTGGGTATCTTCTAGCTGAAGCTAGATGTGTTCTCCCAGTAAGAGAAAACGCAGGACCTGATGCACAGAACAACTTTCCCTTGGTGAATGACTCAGGCCACCATGTCTCTGTCTTTTCCTTATTCCAGTGACTGAAAAAGTCTATGAGAGTGAATCGTGCACAGACAGTGAAGAGGAGAGTAAGATGAAGGTGACGGCGGTACACAGACCCCCTGCTGCTGCTGTGAGAAAGGAGCCCAAGGAAGAACGAAAGGGTCCCAAGAAAGGGACTACTGCTCTGGGCAAAGCCAACAGACAAGTGTCCATTACTGGCTTCTTCCAGAAGAAGTAAATGCTGTCCCTAGCAGGACTTGGGGTGGTCACGGGAGAAGACCAACAAGCATAGACTCACTTACTGTGTAAGTTCGCCTAGTCCTGCCTCACCTGTATCAAAAGGCTGCTCTGCCATCATGTGACACTTGTACTATTCTGGGTTTTTTCAACCAAAAGGGAGTCACCTAGAAGCAGGAGGCAGAAGATATTTTAAAAGCTGTTACATTATATTGAGTTTATAAAGCACAATCTTTGACCTGCCTAGGAGAATTCATTCGAGAATTACCTGCTGGGCCCCACTCACCCTATGCCATGTTCCTGCTCTGGTCCTCTGTATTCTGTGAACTTGTGTGATGACAGTGTTTTTATTTTATGAATTCTACTGGATGTGTTCACCACTTCTCACTTTCCTCTGTGCCGCTACACTTCTGACCCCACAAATCTATTTTCTGCAAATGTTTTAAATCTTGGTCAGATGAAAAGCTAAAACTGAAATAGTGACATTCAGCTCCAGGCAGGCCAGTGTGAAGTGTCTGTTCCTTCCACAGAAGCTCTCCGGAACTTTCCTCACACTAAGTGGCGGGACAGAGCACAAATAGAAATTTCCTGATGTACCCAACCTCACCAAACGGCCACGAGTCAGCAAAACGGGCACTGGCAGAACCGCCATGTTGCCAGCCAGGACATTCTGTATACTCTTAGGTTTCTGGTTTCTTTCTCCCATATTTCCCATTCTTAATACCTAGAGAGTGAACCAATAAGGTGAGGTGACGAGTAAGGAGGAATGGCGGTTGCCCATTCCGGGAAGGAGTGAAGAACGTCAGGCACATGTTTCTACACGGATGCTGCTCCTCTGTATTTTCAGGTTCTCCATTTGCTCAGCAGTACAGGCTCCCCAGGAGGAGATGGGACGCTGACTGTTATTAACCTAGACAGTAATTAAAACATTTGCTTTTGTACATTTGTTTGTTCTGACAGTAACTTCAAAGCACCTTCCATCATGGCTGGGCAGGAGGTGAGAGCCACTTAAGATTGTGTGGCAATGGCAGTGAGCTGTTGGGAAGGGAGCAGAGCTGTGACTGTCCGTGTGATTCATTCTCAGCTGATGAGGGGTGTCTGACCCGACCCTTCCACCAAGGCCTGGCTTGTGTCGTAAGAGATGTAAGCAGCTGCCCACCATTGGAGGTTAGGGTTGGGATTGACCTTGGCATTAACATAGCTGCTTTAGCAACCAAGAATGGGCTTGATTAAGACCAGCAGCTTGGGAGATGAGTCCTGGCCTTACGTCGAAGGCTGCAGGGCAGAGGCTTCACACACCAAACTGAGTAAAGGCTTTTTTTGAAAGTGGAAAAGAGTGGAATGCCTGGACTTAAACTTGACAAAAAAACTTCTGGAGAAGAATCCCTTATTTTAAGTGGTTATTTTTGTCATTGCCTCTAGTCATTTTTCTAAATGGGAATGGAAAAGTACAAGGCAACAATTCAGTCTTTAAAGAAATCTGATTATGGTGGGATTTCTAATAAAACTGAATTTGAATCGGAGCTCTGGTGGAAGTTGGGGTTGCGCCTCTCAAGGAGACTGCAAGTCTCTGATCCCTGTACCCAACACGCCACCTGGGTTTCGAGCTGCCTGCAAAGCTAAGCAAGCATTGAGTGGTGGTGTTGTCTGTCCGTTTTATATAGTATTCAACCACGAGTTCAATAAATTCGAGAAGCTGTTTTGAAACAGTACTTTAAACTGAATGTCTGACAAGTCTGTTACTTGACACTGGTGGCAGGGTGTGTAGTTATCTAAATGCTGACTGGGAGCAGGCTGGTTTTCAGTTCATGTTGCTAAAAGTGCATAGCCATGGTCTGAAATGTACAAGTTATTTGCTGTCTTCATCATCTTTTCAGTCCTCTGGGAAATCTTAGTTATAGAAGAAAACCTAGTCCTGATCTTGCATTTTGTATTGGTTTGGCTTCATCCCTTGCTGGCTGGGTGACCAAATTTCTGAGCCTTGGTTCCCTTAACAAAGTTGAACTAAATTGAGCCACTGTGTGTGCTGAGCTGAACTGGTAGCTATAGCCTGACTGTGGTCCACAGCAGCAGGTACTGGGTGCTGCTTTTCTACCCATGGCGGATGCAGGCAGCTACCAGCTTCTTGAACTGTCACCCAGCACACGACCCAAATGGCGTTCTCCCAGAGGCCTCCCGGCAGTACACTTGATCAAAGGGGAAGATGGTTGTCCTGTTTTACGGCAAGTTTTAAAGAGTAGAATGTTCATTTTTAATTGAAGGAAAGATTTATAGATGGCAGTATTTACTATTCATTAAAACGTGTATTGTGTAACACATGACAGAGGACAAGAGGATACAATAGGAACTGCAGAATGGGTTTCTTGTATTCAGGATCCATTGGAGATGAGACAATAATGGAATTGCAGGGCCAGTGTTCTCAAGAAGCTGGGTCTCAAAGTTAGAGTCTAGGAAGAAGTGAACCACATAGTTCTTTGAAGGACACACGTGAGCTTACCAAGGAGAATGGGTAGGATCTCCCAAGCAGAAGAGCATGGCTTTGGGGGTGAAGGGGTAAATTGTACAATTATATTTTTTTCTTATGTGTATTAGTGTTTTGCCCACGTGTATGTATGTGTATCATCATATATGTTCCTGGTGCCCCTGGAAGCCAGAAGAAGGCACCCCTGAACTGTCATGTGGGTGCTAGAAATGGAACCTGGAGTCCTCTGCAAGAGCACCAAGTGATTTAACTCTGAGCCATGTCTCCAGCCCCGGATTGTAAACTTTTTAAATGGGGAAAGACATTGAGATGTGAAGTTGGGGTACTGCTAAGTAGTTTGGATTAACCTCATAGACAATGGAGATCAACTGAAAAACGTTGAGAGAATTTTTATAATTCCGTTAGAAGCCAGTTCTCTGAGGAGTCACAGTTTGCATGCCTGTGCTCCTGTGTACCACATCTAGCTGTAAGTGTACATTGTATCTGAGGTCTAGTAAGTAGGGGGAAAGTGCTAATGGGATTTAAGAAACTGTCATCAGCCAGACTGCCTCATTCTGGCAGCTGGCATAGACAGTTGCATTGTTCTGCAGACTTTCCTCTTCAACTTGAATATCTATAAAAAGTGGTTTAAAAACTGGTAGTTCCTGGACACCTTCAATGATAGGGGCCTCAACTACTCAAAACACAGGGAGTGGGCTGGGGCGGGACACGTTCTCTGTGCTCGCTTTGTTCCTTTAAGAAGACAGTGCTTGGTATACAGGGAGCTGGAGAGGAGCCTTATAAGGAAACAAATGGTTTCTTGAGGACAGGGTAGAGCGAGCACCTAATAACGGATCTGCCAGAAATGTACTCAGTGTCAGGCTCGTTTTGGTAAACTTGTCTCTCCTTTCATTGGTTCCGGGATCTCAGTATGCTGGTTAATGCAGCTTTTACCACCATGAAACCTTCAGGGACTGCCTCGTTTTGTTGTGAGAAGGCAACGCTGCTCTCTGAGTTATTACCCTGGCGGCTCTGTAAATTAGCCCATGCTGTCACCATGCCCTCTCTGAAGGGCACATTGTACCCAAATAACCGTGTTTAGGATCGACTCCCGCCACTCCCTACTACATGACACTTCTCCCCTCTTGTGTCCCTGTCCAGTTTTTGTGTGTGTCCTTTAGTGTGGGCCACCCACAGATGACCACCCAGGCTCCTTAGCAAGAAGCTTGGTAAGGCTTCTGGTCTCATTTTCCATTGGATCAGAACCCACCGTAACTCCAGAATTGCCCTTCCATTTCAAGCCTAAGGTGCCACACTCCCCCTCCTCCTCTATTTTTCTCTCAATCTTGCCAGGCTCCTCGTTCCTTGGCTCTTGCCACCTTCTTTTTTAAGGCTCCGAGTTCTCTGTGGCTAGCCCTTCAGCTTTTCCTTAGGTCTCTCGGGCTTTCTCAAAGTTCTTCCATGTGGCATGTCTTTTCCTGGACTGCACTTGAAGGATGGAAAAACCACTTTGTCTGGCGTCTGCTTTGGATCCTTCAAATGCAAAGCATCTGAGTGATAGCCACCTTGGTTCTGGACGAGAGACTGCATTTGTAAGAGCCTGGAAGTTGTCTTTTTTTGGAGACCAGTTGTATACACACTAACGATGTCTATAACAGTGACAGCACTTAGCTGAGCAGAGACCTGAGTGAGCACAATGGGCAGAGCTTCCTAGTCCCCTGCCAAGAGCATCATAGAATTTAGGGGAACGCTGGGGAAGGGTTCCCGGCTGAGTGCGTTCTCTCAGTCGGCTGGGCTGGTACTTCATTCGCCTACATACTGTGGTCTTGTGTAAAGAAAGCATGAATTGGGGGTATCTAACATAGCTCCTGTCCGCTCTGAGACTCGAGAGTTATGGACAAGTTTGGAGCAGATAACCAGGATTATTTCGAGGCATTTTTGTACAGTGGTTCTCTGTAGGTTGAACTTGATTATGTAGAACCCCACCAGTTTTGGCATGCTGGACAGCAGAGTGCTCCGATGGAGACACAGGGTTGAAGCAGAAGGACCTGTGTTCAGCAGGGCCTGTGGGCAAGGTGCTGCCCTGACCTCAGCTTCTCTATTTAAAATCCACAGCCGCCTGCCTTGCTGCAAACCATTAGTGAGATAACCCGAATGTGAGTGCGTGTGTGCGTGCGTGCGTGCGTGCGTGCGTGTGTGTGTGTGTGTGTGTGTGTGTGTGTATTTTAGGTTTGGAGGCACTGTCTCCTGTATTCCCTGTAGAGCCCACAATGACATTAAACTGATCCTCTCCATCTCCTGAGTGATGGGACTATGGACATAAATCATCACACCCAGCCTGTGTGGTACTGGGATGAAACCCAGGGCTTGTGCATACTAGGCAAGCGCTCTGCTAACTGAGCTATGTCTCTAGTCCACAGGCTCTTTTATTCCCATTCTTGCATGAGGAAACTGAAGCAGTTTGCTTAAGATCGCAGAATTCAGAAGTGGCAGAGTCAGGATATGTACATTGTGACAGTTGGACTCCATTGCCCACTAACCTCATGCAGTATCCCATGTTGTTTGTATATGAGTTTATCACTTCATACTGTCCAATGATGGCTGATGCTCATTTGTGTGTGTGTGTGTGTGTGTGTGTGTGTGTGTGTGTGTGTGTGTGTGTGTGTGCAAGTATATCTGTGCACCATGTGAATGCCCGGTGCCTATAGAGATCAGAAGAGGATATCAGATTCCCTGGAACTAGAGTTACAGGTGATTGTGAGCCACCATGTAGATGCTGAGCATTGACTCCAGATCCTCAGGAAGAGCAGCCAGTGTCCTCAATCTCTGAGCCATCACTCCAGCCCAACTGGAGATGCTCATTTTATTAAGTGAAAGGATACTGGCTGTTCAGATCCCATTGCTCCAGTTTAAAGCCTGCCTCACTGTTTCTCAGCCCATGCAGCCTCCCTGCCAGGTGCCCTTGACTCTATAAACAAACAGTTATTATGTTTTGTATACCACACTTACTAACTTACAAAGCTAGATAAGTGGACTAATGTTAAGAAGAATTTAGCAGATGTTTGGACAAAAGTAAGTTTTCCAGTCCTTTAGGTCACCAGGAAACTCCTGCAAATGAAACTTCCTAAGGAATTCATCAATTTGGTTTCAGCTGAAGTCAAGAATACTCTTTGCCTCGAAAAGTTCATCCAATTCTTGGCCTTGCTTTTGACTCAGGCATTTTTGCTCTAAGTAAGCAATGCTACAGGCTCACAGGTAGAAAGTGGCCCAGTGACAATTATTGCCCATGACTGCAAATAGGTGAGGCCATAGTGATAGTCTCCATTTAAAGGATCAGAACCTTGGGTCTGGGGTTCAATGTATAAAGCATTTATCATGCAACTTTGAAGATAAGGCTAGGTGGGCATATTTGCCTGTCTGTAGTCCCAGCACTTGGGGGGCAGAGATAGGGTTCCCTGGGGCTGGTTGGCTAGCTAGACTAGCCCAGAGATCCACCTCAGGAAGTAAAGTAGAAGGTAATGGAAGATTACAGTGACCACAATCTCGGGATTCCACACGCACAGGCACCTACCTGCACGTCCACATACATGCAAAACAACAAAACTTGCGACTGCACTTAAGAAACCTGTGTGGATATTGACTCCTCATGAGGAACAAACAAATCTGATGGGAGATGTCCTGTATATGTGTTTCTCTTATTGGTTGATGAGTAAAACACTGATTGGCTTATTGGCCAGGCAGGAAGTACAGGCAGTGCTAGGAGATGAGAATTCTGGGGAATGTAGGCAGACGGTCATGTAGAGCCTGGGTAAGAGAGGACACGCCAGGCATTCTCTGGTAAACCAAGACCAGGTGGATGTATATAGATTAATAGAAATGGGTTAATAATTAAGACACAGCTAGCCAATAAGCCCAAGTTACCGGCCAACAGTTTTATAACTAATATAGCATCTGTGTGTTTATTTGGTGTCGAGGAAGATGCAGAACCAGTTGGTAGGAAAGAATCTCCACCTACATAAATCACACCTTTAAAGTTGTTGATCATGGTTGAGAGGTGGTGGGTGGTTCAGGACCCTGAGCCTTTTGGTTGTAATCCCCCAGATCTATCTCCCTACCTGGAAAACTGCACCTGGGCTGGAGAAGGAAGCCTTTTCCTTTGGCTGATAATCTGGCTGCCCTGGAAGAAGGGCCAAAGGTGGATTGAAGCCTGAAGCTTTTCTAACACGCCTGCCTGAGGGATTAAGGGGAGATATACGCA